AATAAAAATAACATTAATAAATTAAAATAAAATGTTGAATTGGTTTACAATTTGTTTTCACATTTAAACAAAATCCTAGTTTATTTGGTTGTAAAAATTTTATTTATATCAATATGTTTGTAGCGTTTTAATTAATTGATGACCAATTACTATTTATTGAACGAGTCTAATTATTGAGGGACACTAGTATTTTCAATGCTTATTAATATACTACGTCTCTAAAATGTTTGTATTTTGCAGCTTCGGTAACTGCTTTAGTGGTACCTGAAATGTCCTACTCAAGTTCAGAAGGCGAAGATGATTTTTTTGATGCTAATGATATTCCATTCGCAGGCAGCCAGTTGCCATCGCCCACGTAAGTTTTTCAAATTTATCAGATTTGTAATTCAAATAGCTTGGACACAATATACACAATAGTATACTTGTTGTTTCTGGTTATGAAAACTGGTAATTTTTATAGTTATTTTATTTATAATAAACAAAAAAATATAACATGGAGAACATTTTGTTCGATCATTAAGTTTTTGAGGCAAAATTTATAACAAAAGTTGGCACATGATTTTGTTTTCGAAGGCACCCTGGATAACGTAGCACCAGTCCTTTTTGCAACACTTGGTTGAAGGCAGTAATAATTTTTTTATGAAAATTTTGAAGATAGATTAATAATCACAATACTATTCAATATTCCGATAAGCGCAAAATCTAATATAAATTCAATGTCTTGAAAGCACTGATTTTAACAGTACTTGCTTAATCTATTAAATATATACAAGGTGATTAATTGAGATGGTGCACAATAAAGCACACATGCCCTAGCAAAAAGTTGAAAGTTTTGGAAAGAGTTGAAAGGAAAAATGTTTTTGTCCACCATCATTTATGTGATTCTATGAAAGAGTCTTTTTTTATTTCAGTTTCGTTTTTATTTTCTCACTATCCAAACACATTATATACAGGGTGAGTCAGTTTATAGTAGCAGGACAGGTCGATAGAAAATCCAATTTTATGATAAAAGTATCATCCACGCATATATCGAAAATGCAAGGTAGCGAGGTTAACATTTAATTTTTTAAAATAATAATTCATGCAAATCTTAAGGTACTATTAAAATTCTATATTCTGGGACTTATCGCAATACCACATTCAATAATTGAAAATTTGCTTTAGAAATCTAAAATTGTTTAATTTGAGTTTGTTGTGATTAATTTGCAATAAAAAAGTTTCTTGGAAAATCTCGAAAACGTTGCTGTAGCTACTACAAACAAGAATATCTTACGTAAATATGAACGGAAAATTGTTTAATTTAAAATCAGGTTGTCACAAAAAAGTAATTATTATTTAAGAATTAAATATTAGTGCTATATGGCGCCCTTTGTAAATTTTGTGATAAATTGGAAATTTACGTGAATTATTTAAAAAGGTGAAAATAAAAACTTTGCCACCCTGTATCTCAATAACAGAGCAGTTTTTAATATATGTTTGCATGATAATTTCATCTTAAAATTCGATCTTCTAAAGGCTGTTAAATTCCTGCTGCTATAAACTGAATCGGCCGCCTGTATTACATATACATATTGTCCAAATCAATTTTTTGGTTGCAATGTTGGTTTCGGCTGCATAGGACGTTTTTGTGGCGTAATTATTATTCTTTTTAATAAAAATTCTATGGTGAGGAGCTTGAACATCGTCAGAACCATTGTGCAGTTTCATCCTTTTGCCATACAAACCATTTTATTATTGAAATTTTGTCTTACTTGATTCGAGCTGCTGAATGTTTATACATATAAACAAGCTAGTCAGTTGAATTAAAAATTTGGAATGGAAAGAAATTTCAAGAATTATTGGATAACAAAAATGGAGTGGTTTCAGAGAGAAAAAATGAATCAAGGTATAAGTTAAAAAAATTGTATAAATCTATAAAACCACAAAAATTGTAATTCACGTTTCAGCGACAAATGAAAATTCCCGTTAAAAAGTGTATTAATATTTTGAAAACTTGAACTTTTCTGATAAACAAAATATCAATTGGGAAAAAAGCAATTTTTGTCAAAACTGTCGTTCAATTAACTTCGTTCTCGTACATAAGCAGATATTGAAGAGTATTGTCAATAAACAACTTTTATGATTATGCGTATATAGTAGATTACATAATAAATGTTGGACTTTATTAGTACCTTAAGTGTTAGACAAACAATTTACTATGATATGTTGGAATTTACGATCAAAATGGGTTGTGTGGACGAGCTGCAATATCTGCGGGATAACTTTCCGAGTATGTATTGCAAACGTACATATCAAATTCAACAGTGAACCCAAATAAAATTTTATAGAAATAATTTAAACCGACAAGATTCGTTTTACTTATTATTCATTTTTTTCTGCTTTGTAAGTTGCTATCAACGTGGAAAAAAACGTTGTGGAAAAGAAGTACTTTTGTTTTCCTACGCTTATTTTTTTATACCCAAATCAGTCCGTAGATTCTCTTGAAATTTTATTTAATGTTCCGCCAATGGTTGATCACCGCGCCGCATGCAATCCCCTTACCCTTCCATCCCTCTTTATAGATGTAGGCGTCGCGACGCAGCCCGTCGTTCTTCTAACCCCAAAAAAGCAAGTCAAATGATTCGATAAATCGTCTCGCCGCTGAGATTTCTGTGAGTTGGTTTATGTAAAAAATTGAAAATGTTGCTGTGAAAAGTGACGGTCATCTTCGACCGTTTGACGTTTGGTTTTGGGGTTGGAAAGACCCATTCAATGTGAATCGTGGCGATTGTCGGACATATTTTTGAAAGGTTTCGTGGTATTTGTTGGGGTAGATTGACGACATCAGATATGATGTCTGTTGTGTTGTGATTTAATGTTTTCAAAGAAAATCGACAATACGCGATACGTATTAGAAATTTCGTAGTTGCTTGAGACTTAATTATAAGTGACCCAAAGCTTCAAATATTTCTATTTAGTTTGCCTGGTTCATGATTTTCAAATAAATTCCTATTCCTAAACTAATAAAATATTAATTAATCGATTACTATTAATGTATGCGTTAATTATTATTGGAAGAGTTAAACAAACTACAAACTAAACCACTTAAACTACCAACTTTATGTTTTCTGCTACCTACATCTGTTTCTGGGAAAAATACTAATATTTTAAAACTGGATGGCTAATCAATTCTCCTAATATAGGAAACAAATTTATTATTGCTCGTAAGCATTATTTATCATGGATTAATTCTAAGCAGTTATTATTATACGAATTTTTCCTATTATTATACGAGTTTAAATAAAAAAGAAACGAATATCAAAATGTATTGATTAAACCCACGTGATTATATATACGAAATGTACTGAAATCCAGTAAAAGTCCTCACATATAGTGTTTAATCTTTTACTCTCCATTTATTTCATCATTATATTTAAATTATACTTTATAATAATCTATGAAATTATAATATTCAACATTTAGTATGTATTATTATAATCACATTTATCTTGCACGTTTGCAAAAATATTCGCGGTTCAACAGTTCTGTTATTAGATTTAGCTCCCAATCTAGATCAGTAGACGTTCAGTTGAAAATTGGACTAATTCACAAATTGTGACCAGGCCTATTTGGGTTGTTAACTTTTGCCCTATAAAAGCTTATTGCTTGTATAATAAAAGCTTAATTAATTCGCAGCTCGTGAGTTCAAGCGCAAATTATTCATTTTTTAACTATTACGTAGGGTTATTTGCATAGTACAGCATATTTATCATTCAATTTGTCATATACATATATAAATAAATACTGCTATTCGAGGTAAAATTGAATAAAATGTAATAATTTGTCAGTGTCACATGGATGTACAGAAAGTCCTTGCTTGTTTTAAATGTTTTAGTTGCAAACGCTTTTAGACTTACCAAATTTATAATTCTTCAAAATAGGATATAATTCAAGAAATTATATGAGATTGTATGAAAATATATGAGAATATTTTATGTAATGTATGTGTTACCAAAGCCAAATTATTAAGAAGTCAATAAATATTTAAACACACTTTTTTCTATTTGAATATTACTTGCAAATTGAAATTAGCACAGTACTAAAATTGAAAGCACAAACACACATTATTAGTCAAACTGCATGCATAATACCTATTTGACTAAGTTCAAAGTATAAAGTATTGAATTAAATTAGTAAAATAGCGTAAGCCCTTGCAAAAAAAAAAGTTTGCTAATTAGGTTTTCGTCTTTTAAATGACTGTGGCATTGCTAGAATAACTTGAGGTGCATAATTATACATTTATTTGAAGGAGGAAAAGTGAAAATGTATATGCTCAATCCCTTCCTGTTCGACATTGCAGAAAAAAATCTTTAAACATATTCCGAAGTATGCACCCATTTTTTACGTTCTGGTAAAGCCGCAAAGTGACCAACTTGCATAGTAAATTTTTAAATTTTAGTCAGCAAACAATTCTTCAAAAACGCGATGGGTCTACCAAATTTGAAAATATTTTATTTTTGATTAGATTTAGGCAAGCTTCATTTTTTTTAATTAAATATAAAATAAGGCAGACTATTTTCAGAAAAATGAAACCACTTTAGAAGCATTACTAAGACATTTTCAATTTTATTAGATAAACGGTAGTCAAGATTTTTCCATTTTTGCATGTTCAATTGTTCTATGCGTGTATTGATTTTATCTCGCAGCTGAGATATTGTTTTATAAAGTTTAGTAATGTATTGTTGCTCTCTAGATCAGTAATTCTCAACCACTGACGAAACTCTTAGAACTATTTATTTTGGTCACTGCCCGGTCCGACATCGCTCATGACATGTTTTATAAAAAAAGAACAAACTCTTTATTAAAACAATAATATTTGTGTGTTTCACTTACAGAACAGTCGGGTTTAAATCGAAAAGTATAATATTTACAACAAATATTGTAAATATTTTTGTTTATCAAGGATCTACCTTGATGTATTATGTTATACTGTACAATAATCAGTTAGAAGAAAAGACTGACTAACGTAAGTTAATTCAGGAAATGTTTAGTTACACTCCTAAATGTCGTAAAAAGTGTATTTTTTTAATATTTGTATGTGATACTTTGGGATAACTGGCAAACTTGCGACTAATTTATCTGCAATATTAAATATAGCTTTACAATATTTAATGCCTCTTTTAACAGCATTGAACAGTATCGTTGTTTCAATTATTCTCGGACGTTTAATTAAAGACGTTATGTGTCATAGTTAATTCCATAACATCATAAATTAACATTTGTAACACACGGCCCGAACTGAATTTCTTACCAGACATCGTTTTTCCTCCAGCGAAAACAAATTTCTTTTACGTCTCTTTTATGTGCAGTTTTGGAAGTTGTATTTATAATTAAGTCTTAAGTTCACAGCAAGTAACCATCAATCCGTTAAAATATTTACATTAAAAATGTACCTCAAAACTAATTGTGCGCCCTAAATAAGATAGTGAACATCAAAACAAGTTTTATCGGATTTCTTGGACACCTCAATGTGCCGTTATTGGAAATGAAAGCAATATGATGCGCCTTATTAATAGTCGTCTCAATTTTCGTCGACGAAGGTAAGTTGTATTATATATTTGACTGTGTAAGAATTAGCCTTAAAAACAGACCATTAATCTGAGTTTAAGCCTCTACAATGTCGCCTGTTATAATCGAAATGCGTTAAAACTACGCATTGGTCCGAGCTTCTGAAAGCAAATCAAGGCAATTAAATTTAGAATGATACCTACGTTTATTTCGAGGAAATACATTGCACCTGTTTCATGGCGTGAATTTTGCATGAACAATGACATTCATCCGGGTAAAAATTGTGTTAAAAAACTAAATTAAATTTTATATTCGTTTTTACTTTAAAATATTTTATTTTCATGTGAAATAGAAAATAATAGTACCGGTCAATTTCCCGGCACAAGATTATTATTATTTTATTTGAATTGGTTATTTTACGTTGAATAGTAATGAACTGGATTTTAGCAACGTGTATTAGCTAATGGATTGCTTTTAAATACGCTGTATTTTGTGTAAGTACATTTTTGAAATTTTGTTGCAGCAGCTTGAGATCTTTTGACAATGAGGGACAAACTCAGTTACCAGCGCCAAAGTCGATTCCGCCCACAGTTGTTAATGTGACCAATCGAGTGCCATCCGTCCGAAAAAGTAGGAATCCCGGAAATCAAGACGAACTAGATTATGATGGTAAGTTATTTTCCGAAAAATAAATATTGTTTAATCAAAAATAAATATCGTTAATAGTTTAGTTTTCGATTTTTATAAGTTTATAAAATAGCCTTGAAACTTCTTAGTGTGTCGTTGTTGAGAAAACATTTTACATTTTATAATTTGTTTTCAAGTACAGCTTTTTATTTTTTCATTTTGTTACCAAATTTGACACTTTAATTCTGAATACACCAAACATTTATTATTTAACGTAATCATTAAACATCATATTTAAATTTTTTACATTTAGCGCTTTACGAAGACGATGATGAACCCGATGTGGAAATGGAAAGCCATGGCTCCGTTATTAGGCATCTATTATCTCAAGTGAAAATAGGAATGGATTTAACCAAAGTTGTTTTGCCAACATTCATTTTGGAAAGACGATCTTTACTGGAAATGTATGCAGACTACTTTGCACATCCGGATCTATTCACATGGTAAGGATAGAAGGAGAAAGCAAAAATTATATTTACATATGATTTTTTAAATTTTCATAACACTTGATGGATGAATGATGTTTTTGGCTCGAGCCTATAAACGCGGCCCTGAGACTATACATAGGATCGTATTTATTTTGTTAAAACTTTTCCAGAAATTTCCATATTCGTAATGTGTAAAGTTTTTGAGCGACAATAAACAACATGAAAAACAAATATTATTCAACCTCTTTAGATCTTAGAAAGTTCTGGTTCAAACTGATGATTGAAAGGCAGTTTTTGAGGCATCCATCGAAAAAAGACTTAGTTGTTGTGCTTTATTGGCCTGTTACAGATTAGGAATTTTCTGATCAATTCTAATTAACAAAAGATCCTGCTAAGACGCAAAATATCCTAATGATTAATCAAATAATCAATCAGACCCGTATGTAAAGGGTTCTTTTCTCACTTTATAAACCTATTTTCGAAAACGACTTAATGTTCAGCTACGATATATTGAATAGTTAAAAAATGTTAGAATGTGAAATCGGTTCAGCCGATTGCTATCACTTTTTTGGTTTCTTACTAACCAACCAGCTACCGAAGAAACGAACGGAAACAGATAATTCGAATTATTAGGAATAAATCAATAGTGTTAATTGCATAAAATACGAATACAAAATTTTAAATACTCGTTATTAGAAACACGTCTCTAAATAATCAGATATGCGATTGAAATTAAAGAAAGATTCAATACGATATATTTTCGGATAGAAAAGAATTCGATTTTAATGGTTTTTTACTGGTGCCGTAGAAATCGACCTGTCCAGATTTTGGGAGACTACTAATATCTAGTATTTAATAGTGGAAATAATTAATCGAATTAAAAACAGTTACTGTCCTAATTCTCTATTCTCGTTCCTTCTTTTGTCAGTTGCTGATTTATTATACATAATTGTTCTGTCCGGAAAATACATCTCGTATTGCATCGTCCTTTAAAATCAGCAATTTTCTATTGGTTGTCCCTCCCTCTCTCTAGTCGCTGACAAATATTTATTCAGATTTGTTTCCGAAATATAAATGCAAATGATCATTCGTGATGGGTGTGATCATTCGTATGGGCTGTTTTAAACGTCGACGAAAACGTTTAACGAAATATTTACACTTAGACTTTTTTATTATCCGTCTCCATCCCTTAGAACTTGAAAATTTCTGAAAAATTCTATTTCATTTCATGATAGATAGGGCTCGGGGCAAACTACTGGAAAAGTAACAAGTTTTTAAAACTTGAAACTCTTGGAAAAAACACCTCAGTTTTTTTTTATTTTTCCCAGTATTCCAGATTTAAAAGACCCGCGGGACCGAATGGTCCAAGTAGTAAAATGGTATCTGTCATCTTATCATGCTGGTCGAAAAAGCTCGGTAGCAAAGAAGCCCTATAATCCGATCCTTGGCGAAGTGTTTAGATGCCATTGGGATGTTTCGGAAGACGAAAACGGGCCTTCCGAAGAAACAGTACCTGACGGCCCTGTGCCATGGTGTAAGAAAAGTCAGCTCACATTTGTAGCTGAGCAAGTTTCTCATCACCCGCCTAGTAAGTGGATTTCGTTATTAATGCTACAGTCCTTTAAAACATTATATATGTTCCAGTATCTGCCTTCTATGCCGAACATGTAAACAAAAGAATAAGCTTCAATGCCCATGTATATACAAAATCGAAGTTCCTCGGATTGTCTGTTTGTGTTTATAATATTGGTCAAGGAGTCGTATCGGTTAGTATCATTTGCATACAAAGTTGTTCAAAGCATTTTTAAATTAGTTAATACAGAAACAGTTTTTATTTCTAAATACGGGTATTATTATTTTTCCCTATTATTTACGTTTTCTGACATTCATAAATTTTATTTGAAAAAGGGTTGGCAAATAATCAAAATCAATAAAATGGTCCGAATCGACAGTTGATTACATCGCCAACTGTATCGGGATGATGCCTGCAGAATAAGTCTGAGTGCAATATTTTAACTCCGTTAACCACATTTTTTTCGACTACCAAAATTTCCCGAACTGTTTCTTCCAATGCTTTGTAGTAAATGTGTTTAGGTTTATATTGGCGAAATAATTAATCGGTTTCTCTGATTTCTAGGTACTTGATTACAACGAAGAATACATAGTAACATTTCCCAACGGTTATGGTAGATCAATACTAACCACGCCATGGATCGAATTAGGTGGAAGTGTCACCATTAGTTCTCCACAAACAGGATACCATTGTGATATTGAATTTATAACAAAGCCGTTCTACGGCAACAAGAAACATAAGGTAACCGCAGAAGTATACGGACCCGATGAAAAAAAGTCGTTTTTAAGTATTAGCGGAGAGTGGAATGGTTTAATGGAGGCCAAATGGGCCGACAAAGTAAGTTGCTATTTTTCAGCTATTGTCAGGCGTAATTTATTAATTTGTTATTAGACCGATCCCGAGCTATTTATAGACGTAAATGCCATAGAAATAATCAAGAAGCAAGTGAGGCCTATTAGCCAACAGGAGGAGAATGAGTCCAGGAAATTATGGAAAGAGGTTACCGCTGGTCTTAAGTTCAACGAAATTGATAAAGCTACAAATGCTAAGCAATCGTTGGAGCAGAAGCAAAGAGATGAGGCTAAGGAAAGGAAAGATAGTGTAAAGGAATGGCAAACAAGAGTAAGTCATAACTTTTTTATATATAAATCACAGCGCATCGGTCTCCAAAATGAACTAGCTAAAAGTAATTTAGTAAATGCGGTGGCCTAAACATTTAAAATTAGAGTTTACTTACTTTTTCTAAAGAATAAATATTTTTTTTTTGCAAAATTCAGTATAAATTGTGATGTGACCCAGGTCCACTATGTATATGTATTTATAAAATTTACAGACTGTATAAAGTGATCTATTTATAAAATGATAAATATATCAACACTACTTCTGCATATAATCTACGTTACAAATAGGAGACTCGGAAGTTTTAGACCAAGAAATTATATTACAAACCATTTTTCTACAAATATTTTTCAAACCAATCAATAAAAATATCAAAAGTTTCAGATCAAAACGTGCCATAACAATTAAAATAACGTATAGTTTCCAATAATTACCTAATGAGGTATCCTATTTCAGTTGTTTAAAAAAGTTGGGGATGAACAATGGTTGTACACAAGGCAATTAAAACAGCGGCTACCGATGAATTCAACGAACGCTACGTGAAGAAGATCTTAGTATTAGAGTTTTCCAGACCTGATAACTTTGCAAGTCGCTGGAATTTAAATTTTCATGATCAACAAGTAAACTGTGATAAAAGTCATGAAAATTTTGTCTATTCCAATTGTATAGAATTACGGTTTTAATATAGCATCGAAATTGTGTTGATTTCAGCATTGGTATGAAGACATGGAGAGACAAGGTTACTTAACTTTTAATTAAATATAGATCAGCTTAAGAAAATTAAGCTCAATTTCTTATTAAAACATAAAATAAGCTAATAACAATTTTTAGTTCCAAAGCATTCAATTTTGGAAATATGTAATTGTAGACATCACTTAGATGCAATATTTCTTACGTTGCCTCTAGTTTGCGAGATCCTCGTATATCGCTGTAGACTAATATTTGTCTCAGTTATTTTGTATTGTGAATGAATTAAATACTTTATTACCGTTGTCAGATAATCCTGCAGTAAATCAGTACAAATAATAAATATATTAGTGGTAATAACTTAATTTGTGACTATTCTTTTTTGCATAACATGAAATCAAAACGTATTAATTTAGAAACTCAGAGTCACGATCGTATTAAAACGAACAGGGATAAGCATAAAATTTTAAATACAGGAAAAAAAGTATTAGTACACGAAGCGAAATATGTTACCTGTTATCCGGCGGCTTAATAACTTTTAATATTGTCATCGGGGATAAATGCAACGAAATATTCTGATCTGATGTGTCATCGTAATGCGCCATAGATTATGTTTTTTTTAATTAACTTTTAATCTGACATATCAGTTATTGTTATTTATCTATCTATACTTCTTACACATAAAATCGAATTGTAGATTTTGACAGTCTTTGATTATACTACACAATTGTTAACAGGTTTTTGTATGCTATTTTGAAAACCTAATTGGTACTTAAATACCTGTTGTTTTAAGGGGTTTGAAAGTACTTTGGCGAAATGCCCAAACACGTACGCAATGTATTTCGCTTTCGGTGGACGCTGAAGTACTTGCTTTACCAAACTGGCTTTTGTAAATATACATACACTATAGTACTAACTTCAATCGGCAAAAGGTTGTCTATCAGCATTTATATTTTTTACTTTTTAATAAAATGTAAATTATTGTATATTTTGCTTAATTGCATGTAGTATTATTTAGCCAAAGTAATTTGGTTTTGTCACCTTTGGCATTTTAGTCTTAAAAGCAACTTGCCTAAAAAGTTATAGTACAATCAGAAACATTGTAATGTGACGTACTTCCAAGAAAATTTCCAATAAATATATGATATACTATTTTTCGTTGTTTATCTTCAGTTCTTCGGCGAATTAAGATTCCGCAGCTATTTTAAGTGGCGGCTCTTCGAAGAGATCATTTTGCAAATGATCCTTCCAATTTCCAAACTGTTTATTGATACTTCGCCCGGTGTTCTTCTTGTTCGTTCTTTTGTATCAAACCGGGCTGACAACCAATCTTGTTGGTCTTATACGGTTTACCGACGAAGTGAAATAAATCGCAAAGTAAAAAATGAACAGAACAGAACCCTAAACTGATAGTGTTAGAGATTGATGGTCGTAACGTACAATACGCTTCACGGTCAGTAGAGATTTTCGAAAAAACAGCACGCAGAGCCTTTGGAAATACGAAGAAGAAGCACTCCGCGAAAGGTAAGTTTTGGTCGCTCGCGTAAGACTTGCCTTACATCTGTAATAGTTTCCTGAAGTTGCAGATTTTACCAAATCAGCTTAGCACAAGATCTCCGGCATGTTCTAGGTACTATGGTTAGTCGTAAACAGTTTGTAGAAGATGACAAGGAACGAATTTGAAAGCAAGAAAATCTGGAAGAGCTTTTTGCTTCTTGCCGCGTTGCACAAACTTTGTTCAAAATCATGGCCAATGGAATATTCAACATTGTTGGCGCCAGAACTTAGTGTTCGTTAGAAACGCGATTGCAAAATTTTGATTTTTGGTCGAAAATTTAAGAGAGTAAAAATTTAAAAGTAAGAGGTCGATTTTCCCCAAAAATGCAAGTTCCTCAAAATACCTCGAGTGATACATCATTTTCATCGGAAAGATACAAGGAATGCAACGAGCTAATTAAAAGACACCGGGAGCTTTCCAATTCCCAAATAATTAACATTTTCTTAACAATCTTCAACGAACGATATCTTCCTTATTTTCGACCCACAACTTTCATGTTCGCTATTGTTTAAAAAATTGTTTACGGCTTATATAAAAGCAGGACTTGCAAGACCAAGACCAAGACTATGTATGCAAGAACAAGATCAAAACCAAGACTTGCTCTTTTAATCAAGAAAAAGTCTTGGTCTTGCTTTGCTCATCACTAATTAGTTTAAACATTTTAGAAAGTTTTTTATAATTTAACAAGAAGCAAATATGTAAGTGTAGTGTTTGTGGTGTTACACGTTATCAATCGTGAAAGGCATTAAACAATCCCTGTTTATCCAATAAACTTCATAAGGATATATAATGGCGTACGCAGGACTTCATTTTTTCCTTGTTTAAGTAACTTTCCAAAGGGAAACCAATAAAAACGTATATACTAGCCATAAACGCTAGGCGTATGTAAACAACCCTTCCATAAACAAAACAAAATTGAAAATTTTAAGTTAGTTTGTGTGTGTTTTTAAGTTAGTGTCGTTCATTCCAAATGATGGATCCATGACAGGCGTTACTGCGATGAGCCACTCGTGTTTATTGGCTGGTACGATGATACGAAAGTGTTTCCATTGGTTGTAGGCCTGTCAGTTCCTACGACGGCGGACGAATTGACAGATCCCCAACCAATAGAAACACTTTCGTGTCAACGTACCATCGTATAAACGGATGCATGGAACACAGGCTTAAAACGGGAATTCATCCAGCTCCCGAATTTTGCTACTTTCATGAAAATTTAGCAGCCTGTTATAAAGCTGTTGGAATGGAATGGCTAAAGGAATGTTATAAATTACAAATTATTGAATCTTGCGTGTGCGGCTTTCGTTACGCGAGAGATCTTTAGAATGTGAGCTAAGAAGCGTAGATTGTTTTCTTACAGGAAAATTTCCAACCTCATTGAGCAAAAAATGGTCCATTTCCCCAAGAAACACCCCAATAAAAGTTGTTAATCACTGTTGTTCTTTTGCTAACAATGCCAACGTGTATTTGCTTTCAACGTTGAAACAATGGCGCCGAGAACGCTACTAAATAAGAGTATTACAAAATATATTATTACATTTGCAGTTAATTCATAAATCGAAACATTGTCCAAAGCAAAAATGAAATCAGATATTTTTACTTTATTTTTGGACAAATAAAAACAATAAAATTTTAATTTTATTCAAACGTGCCCGAATTGGCATCAGTGGTGCCAATTTCAAAACGTGACGGGTTCCTAAAATGACAGTGACAGTTTTTTTTATAAACAACATCTCAACCTTGTTCCAAGTTGTCTTCATCTATGCCCACAGTCTATGCCTTGTTCTATGATCTCAACCATTTATTGTTCCTTCCATATCTTTTATGAACCTTTAAGTTTAAAAATCTATATAGACTGGGTCTTATTTAATATATTGTGCCCTATATATTGTTAGTGTACTGTATGTGCTAGTTCTGCGTTTAGTATAGAATTTGCCATTATCAACCACTTCACAATGGAACAAGATCAACATTTAGAAGACGGCGAAGTAAGAAGGCTTGTCTTTACTTGTGTGTGAATCTTAAATTTAATATGCCTGTTACAGATTGACGACGATGATGCAATTAATGCGTACATTCCACTTAAACGGCCAGAAACCTATGCCTTAGATATACCCCAGAAACGATTTCCAGAAGTGCATGCACATTATAGTGATAGTGAACAAGAACTTCAATCATCAGATACTGATAGTGATTCGGATGGAGGCCCTCGGAGGAAAAAGAAACCAAAGAAGCTATTGCCCAAACCTTTAAAACAAAAGTCAGACAAACTGAAGAAATATGATGTTTGGAGTGCAAGAGCACAGGAAGACGTGCTGGGTACCTAATTCATGAGCCTTTTTTTTATCAATCAATTTGATAATAATACAGTTTCTTTGCAGCTGAGACGATGATTAGCTGCGATGTTAGTCTTAAAGATAGGTCGCGTGAAAGCGAAACCTATGACTACTCATTAGCTAGAAAGTATTATGAAGAGTTGGAAAATCGACAAGGAAGCAAAAGAACTCGAGAAGACTTGAGAAATGTAAACTTTAAGTAAGTGGAATATTTTTCATACCTAAGTTAGAAACACGTTCAACATACTTAATTAACATTTAGGCCGCGAAAGAGGTCCACTAATGATGGAAAGGAGTTCAAAGGTAAACCGAGAAAAGTGCCAGATCTGAGCATAGATGAGAGCAATAGCGAAGCAGATATTGCCGCAGATATAGCCAGTAAACTCAACGAAGAAAGAGATGATCTGATAAGTAAGTATAATGGTTTAAAATGGTGTCCAGAATTAGATTGCAAACTTTTAAAAACGTAAAGCTGTTTCTCGAGCGAAGCCAGTTTTCTATTTTTTCTATCCCTCCTATCGCTTCAGACAAGTGCTTTTATTACTAATTACGAACTCATCCAATCCGCCTGAATCGTTCACATTTACTTTTTACACTACAATTGCACAGTCAATAAGATCTTCACATCAATTATATTCTACAAAGAACGCTAGTTATTTTAAATGCGATATCCATGCAAAAAAATATACATGCCTTAAAATGCTGGTGTCAATCTTTTGTAGACTTTTTTGGTGTTTACTTGTGGACTGACTTTACACCTTTGTTTTGCAGTGAAAGTTATTAAAACGATGGGAAAGACACGAACAATAGAAATATTTAAGGAAACTCAACGCATTGAGACCGAAGGTGGAATGCCTATAATGGTTAGTAAATTGTACATGTATTTTTCATGTTTAAACCTTAATTCAGATATTTTTTTAACAAACCCTACTTCTAAAAGTTTGATAAATCCGCTGCTCATTGGGGATGATTCTTATATTTTAGAATCAAACCAGGAGAAGAACTGCAGGTGGCGTATTTCTGTATTTAGTTCGGAATGACTATCACATTACTCCGGAGCAAAGAAGTAATATTTTCTCAGAGGACAAGAAATTGTTCAACAAAATGGAAAAGGAACGCAAGAAGAAGAAGTTTCAGAATCTTAAGACTGTTACTAATTTGGGTAAGTATGATCTATGTTCTCTTTCAACATTGCGTCTAATTGTATGATATTGCAGAAAGGAATAAAATATTGCCGGAGCTTTTAACAAGGGCCGAAATTTTTTCAAAAGAAGGGTCGATTCGGAAACTCAAAGAGACCGATGAAGCGAATTGTATAAATCCGCCACCGAGTCCAGAAACTGACCATCACGAAAGTGGTGATGGTATGGATCACATACCAACAATAGAAGCGCACTCACTGCCAATTAAATCAGAGGTAACAAGCAACAGTGTAAATGATAGAGGAAACACGAGAGAAGTTTTAAAAACGTACGATGATGATTACCTAGATATTAACTACGACAACGATATGGATCTATTTTGATTTATTTCAAAATAGTTAATGTAATATATTTAATATGTATTAAGTTGTTTATTACGGAAATAGAATGTATTGCTTACATTTCACAGAGTTTTTGGTTTACATTGTCATCCCATTATCCTAAAGTTGTTAAAATCTAATTAATATGTACAAGGTCTTAGAATACAGCAACACCAAGTGAAGGAAACTATATTCTTGCGGCACTGACCAAAAACGAGTCGGCACAGCCTTATTTTTTTAGGGCGTTAAAATAAAGTTCCCATATAATCACGGAAAATTAAACAGAGGCTTTTTGTAACTCGAAAGAATATAAGTATTATAAAAGTACAGACGTAACCAAATCATCAACTTCGACTGTTTATATCTAGTTTGCCTTAAGAGCGAGTTCCAAAAATGCTGTTTTACAGTGTCTGAAACAGACATCAGATTTCATTTTACAACTGAATCCTTTATGTTTGAAAATTGAAAATATGGATTCCAAAAATAACACTTTTTTCCTCAGTTACTCAGTAATTAACTTGCTTAAACCTGGTGCATGCATGAAAACACCGCATAAGACAAAAATGTACAAGAAATTAATAAATTGCTCAATAGCAACTTTAGATTTCGAATATAGTGCGCTTAAAAAATTGGCTTCAGATCAAATAAAGATGTGTTACAAATGAAAACCCATCGCTCAGGTAAGTACCAGTTAATTGTTAATCAAGTTTACAATGCTTGTGCTGAAAGAGTTGGTATCAACGTCTTTCTGACAACTTCTACACAAATTTACCAATTTTTACTTAAAAGTTTTCGAAAGTGCACTACCCGATCATAATGAACAACATTTACCATCTTGATGACCAAGTTCGATGCCCTTCAATGTTCTAAACTATTTGTAAGTAGTTATATTTTTATATATTCCCTTATAATGGAAATAAACAAAATTAAAAAAATCCATGTGATTTAATTGAATAATATAATGAGAACTCTAACACTTATTCTTAAGTAGGTAACAGATTGTAAACATTTGTACAAATTACCTAAGTATCTAATATTTTAAGTTTTATATGGATTAATGAATCATAATTTCGAAATATGGACTGTTTAGTACGGACTTATTATTTGGATAATTTGCTTACTGCTTTCACACGTTTGTGTTCTTTTCCAGATTGATATTTACATTGACAATAAATAGCTTCGATAGTACTGCTGCATTCCAAGGGTCGTTACCCTCAAATATTCTAAACGAAGTTTCCGACTTCAACGATATTGTTGAAAAAGACTTCCAAAGTAATCGCAGTCCTCCATTAAAAGAGGAAGGTGAATTGACGAAAAAAGAAGTTAACTATGCAAAAAATAGCGAATTCCATCACTCTTATGACACATTTGAGGATAATCCTAATCACGACAGCGTTTTTTCGTCATCGGTACTAGGGGATAGTGGTAGCTGTAAAGGTAGCTTATGCCCAAAACATGGTATTAGATATAGGGATTCTGGAAATATACCTGAAGCCATGGAGGAGACGGATAGCTTGAAGCAAGCACAACCGTATTTAGTTCGCTTATTACCAAATCAAGGTGAGTAAATTTAAGTTAAAACCAACATAAGCGGGAGTCAATAAAGACGATTTTTTGGGTTTTCATTCTTTACTTACTTCTATACGCTTCTTTTCAATAGTTAATTAAATTTTATTAATCTAATATTGATGCGAATCTAACTTCTTATTTACCTACCTATCCATATACGTAAGTTATAGTTTTTGTTATTCAGTACTCGGAAATTTATTTGGTGTCGAAGGAAAAAGTAATTTGAAATTTTTAAAAGTATTTTTCTACTATTCCTACTTTTTCATTCCAGTTCATTACGCGTTAAACAGAAAAAGTATTGTTTTTCCGTTGATTATTTTGTTTTATTATTTGTCAATTTTTTTAAAGCAAATTTCTTTACTAAATCAATGAAAAAATTGTTTAATTTAATTATTTATTAATAATAAGTATTGAATTAATAAAAAAATAGAAACCCTGTAATTCGGAGGCGAACACCATTTTATAGAATAAATTTTAATTACGAACCTATTGTGAAATGTAGCTATCCGTAACATGTACTTCTTACTTTAAAATATTATAGGGTACACAACATCAAATAATTTTATAGAAAAAATGTTATTGAATAAAATAAAATTCCAGGTAAATGGAACTCAACTAATAGTAGGAATAAAAAAATTTTGAAACCTTGTGGTGAAATTCTAATCTTGCTGAGATAGAAACCTTTAGAACCTTTAGAAACCTTTAGAAAAAATTCAGAACGAATTAAATTTATCATAAAGTTCTATATAAAAACTAGTTGAATGATATGCGAAGCTAAAATTTTAATTCTATCCTTATAAGAATATGTTGACTTGGTAAAGTTAAAGTTAAGTTGTTCGTTTAAACAGAATGTTGCCCAATTTGTTTAGGATGCGGCAAATTTTAATACATAAAATGAAGGCCTTCAAATTTTCGTTTTTACATTTGATTTTGATTTTTGAAAATCTTGCCTTTTATTACAAAATTTTTAATTCACGGTTATTTGCAGTTCTGTTATTTTCAATGTCTTTTTAGCTTTGAGAGCAAAAAAGCACGAAAGACAGAAATATCTACAAGTGGCACAGGCAATTCTATCATTATAATTTGTTTTACATTCTACAAGGTATTCAAGTTTTTAATAACACATTAGTAATTGTTTCTGGGATGGCCTAAATATTCTTGGAAACTTCTTCAATCTTCTAATTTTCCGCAAAAACGTTAACACACTGTATTTCACGTGTTAGGTTTTCAAATAGTCAATTCTATACAACTTTTTCACTATAAAACGGATATTTATTTCTCATTTTTAATTGAAATTTTTATCATAAACCTCTTGTATATAATGTATTTAATTATTTCCAAATACTCTGTAGTTCCTACGTATGGTTTCGATTTGCATTAGGAGTAATAATATAAATTCAGCACGTTCTATATATTTTTTGATACTCAATCTCTGACGGTATTTGTTTCATATTTAGTTCGAAAATTTCAGATTTTGATGGCACTAAAGAAGACAATGCCTGCGAAAATTGTAACAAAATTAAAGGTCTATTACCAATTCCTTTAATGGAAAGTCTTCTGATTAGTAAATTATTGGAAAGGCAAGACGGAGCGCAACCCTATCCGATTAAGTATGTAGTTAAGGCAGTTTTACCTAATGTAAAGGATATATCCGAATTGGACAAACCTGAAACGCAACGATGTATTAAAACGTATTTGCAACGCCGAAAAAGACAGTTGGAGTTGTTGAAGAAAAGGAGTGCTAAACACAAAAAGAAGCCTCATAAAAAGAAACATAAGAAAAGAAAGCACGGGAAAAAACACAAGCCGTACAAGAGGCATCACAGAAGTATCAACGACAATTTTGATAATCAGCTAAATGGAATTGCGGATTATATTTCGAAAAATCAAACTTTCAATGAGACTCTGACCTATGTTCCGCTGCTATTTGGAACTGTTACACCAGCAGAAGGACAATTGCTGTTAGCCGGAGTTAAGCACGATGCTTCAGCAGAAGAGAAATTAATGCTGGAGAAAATTTTAAGCATTCGACCGGATACTCTAGTTACGAATACAAGTACTGAAGCTGGTACACAAGCAACAACTCAAGAACCAACAGCACAAACCACTTCAGCAGCAGCCACTTCCATACCTGCCAATAGTTCAACAGCCAGTACGGATAACGTGAAATATAATTTGAATCTAAATTTGAATTCACCCGAAGTAAAGAAAACTATTATGGAAATAATGCAGAGGCAACAAAGTAATGGAGAATCGTATGAGGTAAACTATATCGTCGGTTTAAAGGTAAAAGTGATCAAGTACAAAATTCTGTATTTGTGTTTGGTTGACCAAATAATTAAAAAAAATGACTGAAAAACTGACGAAGTCCCGCACTAAATGCACCAAAATATGATTTTAATAACAGAGTTTCCAAAAGGATTCTCATAAAATTTTCGGATCGGTTTAAAAGTATATCTACCAAAAATTTATACTTTAGACTTGATCAGTTTTAGCTGTAAGTCCACTATATTTAGAATATGCATTTTTCAGTTTACAATTGATTAATTGATTGATGGCCTTAGAGCCCTAATGATGTAACAAAATAATTATTTTGTTGGATTTGTTTGATTTTTTTTCCTCAAACAAAAGTAGAGCGAATTGTTACCGCGCAAGTTATCCACTGTTAGCCTGTTAACCTTTTTTTCGCAAATTATCGATTGAAATCAAGTCAATACCATGTTACTTAGCAATTTTAAAAAATGTATTTGGGTGTGTATGTACCTATATTATTTCGATCAAATAGCCAAATGTTTGGGCGCAGTTTCCAAATTATTGAGCAGAATCTGCTCTGCCTCCAACTTCAAAGTATAAAAGTATTTCCTGATAAGATTTAAGTTGAAAACAGCATCTATTCAGAACGGTTTGAAATATCATTTTACCACTCTAACTTATGTTTTAGCCAAAAGAATTTGAAAATCGTCATATTTCCGGTGATTGAAGTGAAAAACTTTATATCTCCCATAACAAAAAAATAGATTAAAACTTTGCTTTCTGTTTGGTATAGAGGGATTCAAAATTGCTCGAAAAATTATCAAAATTGCCTTCAGCATTAAGTTTTCTTGAAAATATAAAAAAATTATCAGCATTCCTTCGTGGCTTCATGAAATAAGCATATTTTTTTAATTTCAAACATTTGTCGCGGTTATTGTAATTATTAATAAATACACACATTGACTAATATTGTGATAAATGCAATAGCTATTAGGCTTTAATATGGGTGTCAAGTAAAGCAACAAAAATCAAGAAAAAATTATTTGTCCGGAACCTAAAATGCAAGTGCTTATGCAATTAACAATTTTCAAAGATATCGTCATTAACAACACAAAAGAAAGCCTGACAACAAATCACGTTCTTCGTAAAACGTAGTGAACTTTTCGAAAGCTTGAACGATTGAACTCGAAAGATTGACCTTTTCCTAATTAGGATCTGTGAGAAACTGGAAATTTCTAAATTGCTTAATTCTAAGCTAATTCTTGAAAAGAGGAGCGGTAAAGATAATAGATTCTAGAGATGCTCTTGATTTTAAGGGTCTATACATCCGACTTTAAAATATTGTATATAGCAAGCGATTAAAAATATCTGAATTATTACTACGACGATTTTCGATAGGACTTTCAGATTCGAAGCGACACTTCGAAACGTTTCCCTTTTCAGATTCTCACAGTATGCCCTTGTCTTTATACGAAACTTACACAATCAGAACGACGACTTTTCAGACGAAAACAGATAAAAAGTTGTACTGTATTTTTAATGTAAATGTATTTTGCTACCATCAACGTTGTATGAACTTTAATAGTATTGTATTAACAATGCGAGTATTTGAATAAAATTCTATTATTTTGCTGATGATGATGATGATGATTTCGTTTTATGCCACTGGTTTAAACCACCTGGCCAACAATTTATTATTATTATAATTGTGTTATTAAGTCAGACCCGACATATGCTTTAGCTGTATGATACCGTAACTTAATTAATTAATTTACGAACATAAATGTATATAAATGAGTAACCGCTTTATCTGCAAATAAAATACAATATTTTTTGTTATTATTAATGAGCTCAACTTAAATGGAAACAATGCCAGATCTCTTAATTTTTGAAAAAACATTCTATTTCGGTCTGTAAATATTTCACAGTATTTTGATGAATCTTCAGACTATTTTAATACCGTTTGATTCTCTTTAGGCCCCCTCGACGAAAGTTAAAAGGCAAGTTTCCACAGCGTCTGTAGCACCACCGTCTACACAAAATTCGACCGATGCAGTTTTAAATAATTCTACTGCCACTGGGACTGTTTCAACACCTGCAATGAATGCTACTTTGAACATTTCAAATGGAACAACCGAAAATGGAACTCTAGGCCTCGTGGTAGCAAGTTCATTACCGCCAAACGGCTTAAACATTTTACCAGGAATTCTCATTTATCCCAAATGCCATAAACACCTTAAACGTGCTGCTGATTCAACGCTATTGGGAAACAGCAATAAGTTGAATGATGCTCAAATCAGCAGCATTGTAAAATCATTTGATGGATTTAGTCCAAAAAATATCACGGTAAGTAGGTAATCTCAATTCGGTGAAAATTGTTTGCAGCAAAATGTACATTTTCCAAAATTAATCAAAAAGCAATAGAACAATTTGTTGAAACTCAAGATTTTTCCTACTATTTCCTTTCATTCATTTGGAAAATTCACTGTGTTTTCTTTGTTGCAATTGCAAAGTTAGTGCGAATATTCTGAAGGCAAATTCACTTGAATTATTACCAAAAACGAATCACTCTCAAATCATTTCTGTAATTTGTTGCAAACAAACGATCAACTTTTTCCATTACAAAACTATCGTTTTTAAATAATTTTTCTCAGTTATAAAATTATCACTAAATATGGCAATTAAAATTGGGTAAATCAATAGTGAAAATGTTTATTTTGCACTGTTTTATTTAATTTTAGGGGTTTGAAGATTCGAAATCTAAAAAGCAATGTAAATCGGACAAATGCACTGAAGAAACAGGTGATATTATAGAGGCCCTGAATAGCTTAAATCAAAAATCGTTAACTTTAGCAGATTTGGGGGTTGAAGATGCCATTTCGACGACCAAGTCACTTACTTCTTCACATGAAATCATTTCAGAAGCTGTCGAACAAAAACAGGTAGAATTGAGAGAAGACAATCAAATGAAAGAGAAACTGTCGAAACTGCAAAAAGATCTTAAAATGGTGCAAGAGATTCAAAATATATTTGATAATGTAGCTAACGCCAAGGGCAAAGAGAAAAGAAGCGCTCCAACGAAAAGTCGCTTGACAAAGTTTAAACATAGTGGGTCAGAACCTGATGAAAATCGTTACGATAATGAAATCAGTGGTCTCATCAAGGCCAGAATGTGGCAGAAACATAATAAAAGCTTCTGTGAGGACAAAGTTAAAAGGCAGAATGCCGCAAAGAAACGGTCTCGTCGTTTTTTAGCGACAAATTAGCAAAATTTACAGTGAAAGGAACAAAAAATGAATTTAAATTAAATATGAAAAATGATAATAAAAAATTGGAAACTGGTATCGAATACAACAATCACGTCGGCGTTGAAAAACGACAAAACTCTGATGGTAAGTAAAAAAGTAGTTACACCAATAGTTATTGGTGCAACAACTTCAAGACAATATCTAATATGGATGCTAAATACAAGTGAAAAAGAATATCATAAACATGTTTTCCCGAAATGTTTTTTCTGGAAAAAAATACCTGCGGCACAACATTTTGAAAGCTAATAGCTTGATTTTTATATGCTCCTAAATGTGTATGCTTTGTCAGTGAACTCTTCACATTTAAAAAGTAAAAATTTTAAAACATCGTTTATTTCATTACGTTTCGGCGAGAGAACAGCGCCATCATCAGATTTAAAATTTTACGCAAACTGCAAACACCAATTCACAATTAAAATATGTATAAAAATTATAATTTACAAAGTGTTAAAACATTCATCAGTTTTTGAGGGAAATACATTTGCCAAACCCTAATAAAGCCATAAGTATGGAACAGCCGGTACACTATTGATAAATTAAAACTATTTCTGTTTATCTCAATACATGCATACCACTCTCGCAAATGTAGAAAGTAATTCAGACAAACTCAATGTTTTCAAGAAAGCAAAGACCTAAAAGGACGTTGATTTTTACCAATCATGAGGTAAGTTTTTTTGCCTCAAAATCTGATGAATGTTTTAACACTTTGTAAATTATAATTTTTATACAACATGTTTTAATTGTGAATTGATGTTTGTAGTTTGTGTAAACTTTTAAATCTGATGATGGCGCTGTTATCTCGCCTAAACGTAATGAAATAAACTTGTTGTTGTAAAAATGTTTCAAAATTTTTACTTCACACTTTGACAGACCCAGGAAAGATAGGAATATCTAATCTAAAAGTAGTTAATAATGTATTGTTCAGCATGTGTAATTCCCCACTCTAAGAAAATGTATGAGCATGCATTCTTCCTTACTATCTTTTTCATTGCTTTAAAGTTAGTTCAAACAAAAAATGTTGATTTCTGGAAATAGCTAGTAGTAGTGAATTAATGCTAATAAAAACCTGAAAAACAGTTAAAAAAATCTAAGTTTTCTTTTATCCAAAAGTAACTGATCGTGGTATGCGGTTTTAACAATATTCCTAAAACTCATTTTGTCGTTAAAATCCGCAATATTGTGTGTACTCAACCAACTTTATATCTTGTATTACTTTACTATTATTACTATTATCAATTGCAGTAGCATATACTTTATTTAGTGCTGTCTTCCGCAGACTATGGCATGGATGTTGATGATAATAAGCTAATGTCCGAAATGATAGCCGATGCTACCACTATGTTCATTAAGCAAGATATGAAGGAATTAAAGAAAACCACCGTAGAAGAATTGAAACGTTTTGAGAAAGAGAAACTCTTTAGCAAAGCAGACGAACTGTTGAGTAGCGAAAAGTCGCTTCTTACCAAACCCACGACTACAGTTGAAGCTGAATATCTAGAAGCTGTAAGTGAAGATAGCGATAATTTGAGCCTTGGTGCCGGTTATGATGATGTAGTTAGCGTTGGAGTAAATCAAGATGATTTGCCGGGTGACGAAGTAAACGATTTGTACATACGCATTTTGAAAGCTGTATAAACTGCTTAGCATTTTAGATGTCTCAAGTACGCGACGATGACATGCTTAATAAAGCGTCCGCTATGGTAGAAGCTGATCTGACTACTGAGGATTCCAGTGAAGCAAAGGCACTTTTCGCCGCTGCAGATGAGTTGTTAAATGACACAAGCAATTGGGATTCTACAAATAGAGGCACTCAGCCGACAAATCTTACAGCTACTTCTGCGGTCCAGCCGCATTCGGTAAATTGCGGACTTTAAAATATACGAAATTATACTTATACTAGTATTTTAATCAGGCTGAAGATATTTGCGAAGTCCAAACTGTAGTACCACAATCCGGAGTTAATAATTCTTCTGTGGTAACAGAAGCATCAACAAGTCACTCAAATAGAGCGAGAAGAGATGATGCAGCGATAAGATCAACGCATATATGGGAAGAGTTTGATTGGCCAACCAGGAGAAAAAAAGGTGAACTCATAGGCAAACATTTTCGATCATCATTTCGGATATTTATTAATTGCGTTGATAATTTCAGCATTTTTCGAAATAATGAAGATTCAATCACTTCTAAAAACTTTTACTGAAACTAATCTAATTTATTCTTTGGAGTTTTTCTGATAATTATTATTTAATAAACACGTTTCTGTCGGTTTTTAAACGTGAAAGCTTTGAGTATATAAAAGCTTTCCGGTTAATAAAGCATTTAGCAAATTTTGATAAAATAAGGAATCTTTATCAAGATATCAATTATTTGCTATTATTTTCATGCACGGTATTCTGTTATTGTGGCAATGGCAATGGTATTTTTGCATATAATTTTTTGCAACGCTTGATTCCTAATAGAAAAATTTGACAGCTCAAAAAATCTCTTCCGCCTTTAGCTCTAAACCCCATTTAATGATAGTCTTGTTTCAGATTCCTTATTTTAAAGTCCTTTTTTGCTGTCAGCTTTTTCTCAAAAACAAACTTGTTCATTTTTGGCAAGTAAAATTAAATAACGTAATTTATGAAAATGTTAAAATTCGTGTACAGTGGAAAGTTAACCAATGTCTTCAAAGGTAAGTAATATCAAAGCTCACAACTTACAAGGTAACATTTAAGACAAGCTTTAATTGTGTGCTAAAAATACCATTAGCCAGAGCTCAATAAAATTATGCCATGTTTCAAAAGCCACTCATTGAAATGTTAGAAACGTGTTATTTTAAATGTTACTTCTATCCAATTACGATTTATATAATCAACTGAACGTTTTTAGAGGCCAATTCAACAACCTCTGCTTCATCTGAACCCAGTCGAACTGAAGCCGTTATTTACACCACATGTGAGTTATGTAAGGACGAAGATTTATATGTGCCTGGAAAAGAAAAGTTTGATAATTTTACCGTTGAGAACACCACAGCTTCAAACTCAGAAAGCAGTGAATTCTCTTTGTTGTCAACTGAAAGTTCATCGCAAGGCACATCAGAATCATCCGAAATTTCATCGCACATTACTACGACTCCTAGCGAATATTCTTCGTCTTCCAAAAATTTAGAAGAGTCATCTACGCTCTCAGTAGGACAATCTGAAATAAGTGAATCATCAAAAGAGACGACTTTAAATAGCGAAACAACTGAAACTTCCGAATCATCAGCTACTTCAGAATCATCAGCTACTTCAGAATCATCAAATACTTCAGAATCATCAAATACTTCCGAATCATCAAATACTTCCGAATCATCAAATACTTCAGAATCATCAAATACTTCCGAATCATCAAATACTTTAGAATCATCAAATACTTCAGAATCATCAAATACTTCAGAATCATTAAATACTTCAGAATCATCAAATACTTCAGAATCATCAAATACTTCAGAATCATCAAATACTTCAGAATCATCAAATCCTTCGGAATCTTCAAATACTTCAGAACTATTAAATACTTCTGAAACAGCTGAAACTTCAGAATCATCAGAGTCTTCAAGAGCGTCAAATGAAAATTTAGAAGAATCGATTGCAACGGCTTTAAGCACAGAAACATCAGAAACTAAATCTGGACTTCAATCTGAGTCCACTACAAATGAACTATCTTCGACTGAAGTTGCATCAACTGAAAGTTTGGGGAACGTTTCTGACAACTTATCTGAATCACCCACAGTTTCATTGGAAACCGAATCTGCAGAATCGTCTGCGTTATCGCAATTAACCGAAACTGGTTCAGAAGAATCTGAAAATGCCACAGAAACCACTCAGCTTTCCGCTGAGAATGGAGCAGAGCCAAGTACAAAATCTCTAGAAGGCTCTGAAGGTTCAACAGAAAGCAGTTCTCTAGCCATATCCACAGAATTTAATGAATCGACTACAGAAAACATTGCACAACCCACTTCACATTCATCAGAATCTTCGGTAGGCAGTACAATTAGTAGCGAAACGCATTCTTCATCTGACGTAGGAGTAACAGAAGGATCAAGCCAAGTGACAACAGAAAGCAGTTCTCAAGCCATATCCACAGAATTTAATGAATCGACTACAGAAAACATTGCAACCTCAGTTAGTACTGAAGTAACAGAAACTGGTGAAGCAAATGGTGATACTGAAAAATCTAGTATCACCAGTGTAGTAAGTGAAATTAATGAAGAGTTAAAGAGCAGCGAGCAATCGTCTTCAGAAAGTTTTGCATCTGAAGAAGAAACTGCTTCAGTCTCAAACCAGGAAACTACATTATTGTCAACAACTGAAGAACCTGAAACTGAGAAAAACGAATCTTCTGCTGCTTCCGAAGTTGAAACTGCTTTAAGCAACCAAGTCAGTTATTCTCAATCTCCCTCTACCGAAATCGTAGAATCCGAGTTGTGTACACTATATTGTGAACTAGAACCGTCCACAACTGTTTCGAAGCCTTTATCTACAGGAAACGAACAATTTCCAAGCAGTGCTGAAGTAGAACAGACTACCAACAATGACGAGTATTATGAAGCAGAAGATGAAGGTGAAGAAAATACAGCCCTACCACCTGAGTCACCGAATACGGAATTTGTGGGTTTGGAAGTACTTCCCAACACGAAAAAAGTCTTAAATATCGCTCGTCGTACTGGGCCCCACCACTACACAAGAGTTTTAGAGGAACATACAATCTACAATGAAGATGATGAAGTAGTCGGTGTTACAAACATTTCAAAACTGGTTTATATTTCTGGCGAAGAATGTAAGTATAAATGTAGCTTGATTACGGAAAAGCATTTAAAGTGTATTGCTGTTGGATATTGAGGATATTAATAGGGCAAGGATATTAATATATTGTTTTTACTTTCCAGTTTACGGACCAACATTAGAAGAAAATGAGGGTAAACACACTAAACCGAATGCGGCAGAAGAATTTTATAGCACTGAAACTGAAGAGGACGAAGAAACCAGCGTAAAAAATAAAGGGGAAAATCAAACAAAATCTACCAATGAAAATCAGTTTGAAGCAACAACTATCACATCAGAACTAGAAAGTACGAAACTTAGCGAAATACCTGAGCAGGGTTCTTCAGAAGAATATTCTAGTGCAACAGAGAAAGCAGACACTATACAGACACACACTTTATCAACATTATCATCTTCTGCTGAGGATATCACAAGTTCCAATATTGAATCCACAAACATTCAAGAATCTACTGAAGCTGGAGGAACGTTGAACAGTGAAAATACTCAAACACTCAAACAAGCTTTAACATCTGAAGAGTTTAAAAGTTCAAATGTTTCTCCTATAGAAAGTTCAAGTAAAGTCGGAGAATCTCCAACTACTAACGCGGAAGTTGCATCCCATTTATCAACATTATCCTCTTCTGCTGAGGATATCACAAGTTCCAATATTGAATCCACAAGCATTCAAGAATCTACTGAAGCAGGAGGAACGTTGAACAGTGAAAATACTCAAATTCGAAGTGAATCACAAGAGTCAACAAGCACGACACTCATAGCTTCTTCCTTGGAAACCACTGTTTCTGATTCAACAGAGGCAAGCATCATGGAAGGTCAGACAGTTATAGTGCTTGAAAAAGATAACTCAACTAGCATATGTGAGCTGTGCAATATGCAGGAAAATCAAAAATTTTCTAATAACTCACTTGAAGCATCCAATAACACTCGTTCAGATGCTGGTACAGAGGAGTCTAATGAGACATCAAAAATTGGTTCCAGTATGTCAACAGAATTAACACAGACAGTTGAGAATATAACACCAGAAATGTCTGAGAGTGGTTTTATTAGCTCCACAATTGAACTATCAGAAAATTCGTACGAATCTGATGCTACGGCGACTGAAACACAATATTCGAATATTTCGACTATTAACAATGGGAGTTCAATTGAATCAGGTGTTGAGGAAGCATCTATTTCATCCTCACTGGAAGTTGGTACTTCAGGCATTACTACTAGCACAGAAACTGGAAGCGCATTAGAAGGATTATCTCATGCGGAATCTGCAACCTCTTCAGAAGAAGCTGGTACTTCATTAGCAGCTAATTCTGATGAATCTGACAATACTACGAGCACAGAAACTGAAAGCTCATTAGGAGGATTATCTCATGCGGAATCTGCAACTTCTTCAGAAGAAGTTGGCACTTCATTAGCAGCTAATTCTGACGAATCTGACAATACTACTAGCACAGATACTGGAAGCTCATTAGAAGGATTATCTAACGAAGAATCTGCAAATTCTTCAGAAGAAGCCGGTACTTCATTAGCCGCTAATTCTGACGAATCTGACAATACTCCTAGCACAGAAACTGGAAGCTCATTAGAAGGATTATCTAACGAAGAATCTGCAAATTCTTCAGAAGAAGCCGGTACTTCATTAGCAGCTAATTCTGACGAATCTGACAATACTACTAGCACAGAAACTGGAAGCTCATTAGAAGGATTATCTAATGAAGAATCTGCAACTCCTTTAGAAGAAGCCGGTACTTCGTTAGCAGCTAATTCTGACGAATCTGACATTACTACTAGCACAGAAACTGGAAGCTCATTAGAAGGATTATCTAACGAAGAATCTGCAAATTCTTCAGAAGAAGTCGGTACTTCATTAGCAGCTAATTCTGACGAATCTGACATTACTCCTAGCACAGAAACTGAAAGCTCTTTACAAGAAGCTTCTGATGAGGAATCTGCCACTTCTTCATTAGACGTTGGCAGTTCATTAGCAGCCAATTCTGCAGAATCTGACATTACTCCTAGCACAGAAACTGGAAACTGATTATAAGCCACAAGACAACAAGAAATCTCTTCAAGTTCTTTCCAAGAAGAAAGCAATGAGTTTGAGCACATGTTAGCAAATTAATTTTCTCCAGAGGCTTCCGATATATATTCACTTGAAAATAATAATCCAACGCTCAAATCTCTAGCAGCATCTGAAACTTCAATTAACAAGAATGTTCTATAGATTCTGCATACCTTACGCTTACATCTGAACTAAATTTTGGAAATATTCATAATTTGACTGTAGGAATGGAATCTACCAATTTGCTAGAAAAGTCGACAATTTGTTCGGCAACAATTGAGAAACGTTGATGGGCTGATGATATTATCAACTTTAATGAACATACTACAGTGACAATGTGTGAATTACCTATGTGATAGTGAAACGGATTAGTAAAAGTTACATAAATGCTTTACTCGCTAGATTGTTTGTATGGAAATATGTTTCTAAAACATCACTTTCAATTTGTATTTATTTGTAATATATTAGATAGTTTTTACTGATGTTCAATTTTCTTCACATAAATAGCTGGGGATTTTAAAAATATAGTCATTTCAGATTTTATCATTACAATATTTATACAGAATTATTTGCGGTAGGTTAGTCAGAACAAATAAACCAACCTATACTTCTGCTACGGAAGAAGAAAAAATGCCCAGCTTTTTGAACTCCTTGAGTGAGGAGCAGAGCACAAGTTCAAGTATTTTACAATCGATGTCGGAGATATTTTCTAACCCCAGTAGTGAAGAGCGTTTTGAAACATTTACTGAGACCTTCCAACCTTCATCCGATTTTCAAATGAGTACAAATACCTACAGCAATGAAGAATCAGACACTGTTAAAGGTATAATTAATTGAAAACTCCAAATGATTCTACAATAACAATTTATTTGGTGTTTAGATCAAACTAGTACTGCTATAGCCGAAGTAATTAGTTCTACAGTTTACTCTGTGCAAGGTGTAGCAAGGTTTTCAGAACGCTATAAAAATAACAGAAGTAAATTTAAGGAAGATTTTAAATTTCTATGCGACCCATGTCCGAGAAAATCAGCTCTTAGTGCTACTTCTTCTCAAGGTGAAACTGAAACTAGCGAATTTCACTCCGTAAACCAAAAGTCAACACAAGAGGGGGAACATGCATCTATTTCCGTGCCAAATGAAATTTATACAGAAGCTTCAAACAGCCAATCAAAATTTGAAGATTTTACAGCTGAAGCAGCTACTGAATCTGAGAAAAGGAAGTTTAGTTCTGTGCCATATGAAGAAGAAGCTACTACACAACAAGAGAAGACAACAGCATTAACGAGCAATGAATCAAGCGGGATTACCGCCACAGAGCAAGAAAGTTCAATTTTTTCAAATACAATCACAGAATTGGTTTCTTCTAATAATAACCAAGAATTATCGTCTGAAGAAGAAAGTGTTTCTTATGACTCTACAGAGCAAACCACTAAACTGTTGCCTACAGCAGCTGAGGGAGAACCCTCGTTAGAAACCGAAAGTGAAAGTTCCATATCAGCCGCTGAAAATTATGGGCCCATTACGAAAAGCCCTGATCAAAATACAGGCTTAGAAGAAGAAACAATAAGTTCAACAACATTTGAAACGAGTATGGGGATATCTTCGAATCACGACCAAGAGGTCAATTCAGAAAGAAATAGTACGGTAATAAATGAATCAGTTTCAAAGGATAACCATGCATCAAAAACAAGCCCGTCTGAATCTGATGAAAGCAACCTACGTTCTATGAGTTATAATCAAGAAACACTTTCACAAGAGGAATATACAACCTTTATGAACAATGAAGCAAAAGAAAGTACGGAATCAGTATTTACAAATAGAGAAAACATTAAAAGTCCTTCGGATCATAATCACGAAACTTCTTCAAGCATTATACAGGCGATTTCCGAATCTTCCAATATAATGACAGAGTCAATTCCTGCAAGTGCTAATCACCAATTCGTTTCAAGAAAGCCTGAGCAGGAAACAACACTAGAAGAAGAAATTACAAGGACCGAGGTGACAAACTTAGAAAACGAAAATGTATTTTCGTCTATTGAAACTGAATCGAGTACAGTTAATACTATGAATCGAGACCAAGAATCTACTTTACACAACGAAAATACGGAATTTACAGAGGATATTGAAAGAATTTCAATGCATTATAGGCAACAACTCACTATAGAAGGAGGAGATGTTTATTCGGAAAAGGGAAATACATTACTTAGTGAATCAGCTTCAAGGGCCACGGTGAAAGAATTTGGCAAATCAATCCAAACTGAAAGTGTTACAAATTCAGCAGTTGAAATGCAGACTGTTCTGAGATCATTAACCACAGAGGAACAAAATAAACCGAATTATGAAGTTCCCACTATAGAGTACGTTTCACAATCAACTGAAATAAGCGTAGCTTCAAAGAAAGAACAAGACAGAAAACACAAAATGTCCCAAGAGCAATATAAAATCGATTATCAAAAATATGTTTGCGATCCTTGTCCCAGAGCTAACAGATTTCTCAAGAAATTTAGACACCATACAGTCAAAGATGAGTATTTTCCTACACACTTTGAGTCCAGTACACATGCTGCAAAAATTAGTGATATTGTTACGCAACAACCACCGATTATTCGGAATAAGTTGACTGACTATCAGCAAGGAATTACTAGAGAGTTTCTTCATAATCCAGCAGAAGGCGACATTGACAATCGACTTGAAACTCAATTAGCTACTGAATTTGGAGAGTCTCATACTAAAAATATGCAAGAACAAGCATCTACATTCGTCAAAAAAGTTTCTTTAGAATCTGATGAACAATCTGAGTCTGAATTGAATGCTTTTACTGAAACTTTAAAGTTAATATCAGGAACGTTAGTTGAAGCCAAGGAAATCAATAAAGGTGATGTTTTTACTGAGTTACCTTCTGAAGAGTCAAATGAGGAGAGCACGAAAAACGGAGGTTTTGAAGCTGGCCAAGGCACGGCTGTAATAAGTCCATTGCAACCACTTTTTGCATCTGAAGAATTACGAACCAGGATGCTTGAAATAACAACAAAAGAGACTGATGAGTCAGGAACATCTCATATATCTGCTCATATTCCTCTGTTCCAATATTCACAGGCATCTCTAGTTACAGAAGCTGAAGAAATGTACAGCAAAGCTGCGAAAAAAACTTCAGAACAGCTAAGCGAAAATTCGGAAGAAACGAGTTCTAATACTGAAATGCTTTCTGACCTAGAGCGAACAAGGGAAGTGGAAAATGAAGACCAAACAAACCATGCGTTTGGTATGCATCGTACTGAAAGCACCGGTGAAACTGATTTTGGGCATTATTTTGGACGTGGTACGTTGAGCAAGGAAGAAATTGGGCAAATCGTCGAAGGTGTTAATTTATCGCTTACAATTCAAATGCCTATTGAGACAGATATATTATCAACTAGTACTACCCGAAAAAGCGTTTATCAAAAAGGCGCTCCTCTATCATCTATGAAATCAGAGGATGAATTTTTTACATCAAGCGAAGTTCCAGTACATTACGTCTATATTTTCGCAGAAAACTGTACTCAGCCGGAAACAACGTCTTTTCAGAAGGAAGATAAGTTTGCTCATACGCGTCTTTTCACATCTAAAACAGCCACTGAACCACATAACTTTGGTGCAGGGACTGGCGTGATTTTGCACTTAACATCAAGCAAAACTGGACAATCTAAAGCGGCCGAAAATAAAGAAAATGCAGTTACGTATGAGATCACTAGTGAAAACACCACTGAACATACTAAAGCTTCAAAAAGTGCGACCGAGAAAATTACAATCACCGAATCTGCATTTCAACCTTCTGAAGAATCTGAGTCCATAACCTCGGAACACCCCAGGAAAACAAATTCTGCTGAAGAGTTAGAAGAGGAATACTCAAAACAACAGTTTAATTTTAACATTTCGTATGAGATCACTAGTGAAAACCCCACTGAACATACCAAAGCTTCAAAAACTGCGACCGAGGAAATTTCAATCACTGAATCTGCATTTCAACCTTCTGAAGTATCTGAGTCCATAACATCGGAACACGCCAGGAAAACGAATTCTGCTAAAGAGTTAGAAGAAGAATACTCAAAACAACATTTCAATTTTAAAATTTCGTATGAGATCACTAGTGAAAACCCCACTGAACATACCAAAGCTTTAAAAACTACGACCGAGAAAATTACAATCACTGAATCTGCATTTCAACCTTCTGAAGAATCTGAGTCCATAACATCGGAACACGCCACGAAAACAAATTATGCTGAAGAGTTAGAAGAGGAACACCCAAAACAAGATTTTAATCTTAAAAGTTCATCCTCACAAGAAATGGGTGCGGCAGGATCTCTTAATGAATCAGAGCGCGGAACCTCAGAGTTTATTACAAGCAAAAGTAAAACCCAAAATATTGCTTTGTCTACATCGGAAATCAAAACTGATCATTTACTTAGGTCAACAACGGAATTAGTAACAACTCAAAATGTCCACAGAAAACATACAAAAAGTAGTCAAGAATTTCTTACTGTGGTATCCACGACGGAAATCGAGAACAATCTTGTGGGGATGGAAACCACACCCTGCAAGTATTGCATCGAAAACGTTTCAAACCCTCATTCCAAACCTGTTCAATATTATTTCAGCAGCACGCCAACCGCACCCCCAATTACTACTCTCAACACAGAAACTCAATACGGAACTTTATCGGAAAAAACGGAACTTGAGAGAACCGAAAAATTATTCTCTACAAGTATTTTAGCAACATCAGAAAATATCGAGAAAGAGGGTGAGACCGAATATGAAACGGTTTCTGTATCCCAAACAGTTGATGAAGAGAAGGAATCTCAACTGGTACCTGCAGCAGGAACTGAAGAAGCGGCTACATCAGAGCAAGTTACCGAAGAGGAGGATAATAAAACCAGTAAAGGAATTTCGAGGGGAGAATTTTATGAATATTCAAAAAACACAGCTTCAAGTGGACATCATAAAGAAACCAATGAGTCGACAGCTGAAAGATTTTCTGAAACAAAAATCGATGAATTCACAGTTCACTCAGAACCGCAACTAGTGGAAGAAACCTATAATATCTCTAACCCTGAAAGATCTACAAGTGAATATAAAATAACTTTAACTTCATTGTACAACAATGATTACCGCACCTCTCCACCCATGGATGACAATAAACATGAGTCAAGCAAAAGAAAGGAAAGTTCTTCATCGACTGAATCAGAAGTCACCAGACAAGAAGTAAATGAAACGGATTCCGAAGAATCTACATCTGCAAAAGATACATTTGATAGAATAACTACCGAAAGCGCGAGCGGTGAAACTGAAGCCGTATCAGGTAAAGAAGAAGAAACATTTTCTAAATATACTGGCGAAGAAAACCATTCTGGATCTAGCATATTAACAAGCTTTCCCACTGAAGGCCTCACTAAAGAAACTGCTACTGGATCTGAAGGAAACTTTGAGACAATTTCAGACGGCAACGAAAGTAAAAGTACTACGATTGCTCCACAAAGCGCGCAAATGAGTACAACAGAGCAGAAGGGAAAACTTGCCTCAGAAATTAATGCGGAATCAGAACAAATGGATACCGATGGTTCCAATGTACAAGAAACTGATGGTATTAAATCTAATAAACCTTATAATCAAACTATGCAGGAATCGGAAACTGAAATGATGGCGAATAGCGAAGAAGAAAGCATTACCAGATTTCAAACAGACCAAATATTAACAGTTTCTCCGGTTTCTACGTTAGCAAACCATATGCATGGAAAGTCAAGTGAGTAATTGAGTATGGTGTTTTATCTGAATATATTGGGAGCTCTAAAATGATGCGCAAAACATATAAGGGTTTGCTCTACATCAAAAGCTATGGTTTGAAAATTATCAACTTTCTAATAAAAACATATTATTTATATTTAATATTTGTTTGTTATTTTACCTATTACATATTTGCAGTATTTTGATCACAATTTTTGTATGTATAGAAACAGGTTTACTTTACTGACCTAATCAATGTAGAAATTACGTTTTCCGCTTTACACCTGTTACTTTCGGCGGCAATTTTTGCAAACCAACTAACCTAATCTAACCTAGCGTGTATTTTGAAATGGACAATTTGAAAGTGAAATACTTGCCACTGTCACTTTGAATAACATGCGTTTACAATTATTTTACATTTTTTTATATTCTACAATATAGGCCCTCTAGCAATGGGCGGTGAACCTGACAGAAATACAACTGAAAATGCTGAAGATACGGTTGAAACTAGTAAGTTTTTTAATCCCATGTTTCAATTTAAGAATCTCAATTTTTTGTCTTAATTTCATTTATAGCATCAGAAAATGTTGAAAAATCAGAGGCGTATAGCCAAAGTGAAATTTCGGACACAACGGCTTTAAGCAATGACGAAGAAACGAGTGTGACAATGGAAAGTGATGAGGGCTTGGCTTCAAACGATGATACAACAGAATTAAATACCGAAAGTGCTTCTTTAACGGAAGGAAATAGTAAGCAGGAACTTAATTCTGAAACACAAGAAGGTTTTACGCATACCACCACCGTTCGTGAAGGCACTGAGGCGACGGAAGTCTCAGAATTAAGCGAAGTAGCTTCGGAAGGTAGCGATGCTACAACAGGTGAAAATACAGCTAGTTTAGAAGGAAACACATCGGAAGAGGACAATGCAACAAAAGTAGCTAGTAATGAAAATAAGAACTTGACAGATACATCTGAAGAATCTGGTGCTTTGCAAGAATTTACTACACATCTGTCCAGTGAAAACTCAATGGAAAGCGAACCCGAAGAGGTAACCAAAAATTCGCTTGAAAGTTCCGAAACTACAGAAGGAAAACCCGGAGAATCTTCGTTGGAAGAGTCGAAATCTGAAGAAAGCAGTTCGACTGAAATAAAAGAACTTACAACAAATGAACTGGGTCAGCGAGCAAGCTCAACTATAGTCGAGGGTTCTATAGGATCAGAAGTAAGCACTACTGAAAATATATCTGACCATTCGGAACTTAATACTAATGAAAGTACGGAAAGTGCAAATGTGTCCGATGGCAGTTCTCAGGGAATGAGCAATGAGTCGAAATCTGAAGAAAGTAGTTCGACTGAAATAAAAGAACTTACACCAAATGAACTGGGTCTGGGAGCAAGCTCAACTATATTCGAGGGTTCTATAGGATCAGAAGTAGGCACTACTGAAAATATATCTGACCATTCGGAACTTAATACTAATGAAAGTACGGAAAATGCAAATGAGTCCGGTGCTAGTTCTCAGGGAATTGAGCAAATCGAGTCTAGCACTACTGAAACCACTGGTAATACGTCTTCACACGACGAAGTGCCCAATGAAACTGGGTTAAATGAGAACAGTGTAAGTGAAAGCAATACAGGCCCGGACAATCAAGAATTTTCATCGTCTGAAAATATTTCCAGTAAATCCGCATCTGAAGAAACAGAACACGTAGAATCCTCTCATAATATAACTGAACAAACAGAGCCTGGAGAAAATAAGACATCTGAACCCAATGAAAATCTATCCAGCTCTGAACATTTCGCAAATCAAACGGAGCCTAGTGCAAGTGGCACACCGGAGGGTACTGAAAATGTGGCTTCATCTGCGCAAGTTTCCGATGAGGCGGAGTCTAGTGAAAGTAGTTCAACTGAAAGTACTGACAATTTACTTTCATCTGAACCTGCAAATGCATCTGAAGGAACTGAAAATGAAACTATATCCGAAGGTAAAGAAATACCCTCGGATATAGCTGCAACAGAGAGCAGTGAACACTTATCTTCATCTATCTCAACTGAAACTGAAACTGCGGAAAGAGATACATCTGAAGACATGGAAAACCTATCTTCTACCAGGCCTGGCTTAAATGGCACGGAACGGGAGGAGAGCTTTAATTCAGGAGCAAGTGGCATGTCAACTGAAATTAGTGAAGGAACGACCCTTTTACAGGAACTTGAAAATGCATCTCCTATAAATAATACAATTGAGTCGGAAGTAACAGGTGAAGGAAAAGGAAATACTTCCGGAGTACATAAAGAAGAACATTCTACATTGCCAGTAGAAGTAGAAGAAGGGACTCAGTCTAGCTTTGAAGAAAGTAGAACACACACTAAAGGCACAGTAGAAATATCGACTGGTCCTTACTCAGAGCAAGAAAGTCAATCTGTGAGGTCTTCAGAAATAACAGAGAAAAGATTATCTGAAAATACGGAAAGTATTAATGTTCCAGAACAAACCGGTCTCGAAGCTAGTTCCACTGAAGAAACTCATGAGATTCACAGTGAAAACGCTGTGAACGCTGCGTCTACAACAGAAGTTGAAAGCGGTCTTTTCGAATTTGGTTCATCCACGGAGTGCAAACATTGCCATACAACTAACAGCGAAACAAGTCCACACTCATATATGTCGAGCGCCAATATTGAAGTTGACTATTTGACTACTAGTTTAGTAACAAAAGAAAAAGAAGAAAATGAAGTTCAAAGAACCACATCGCCAGAAGAGAATGTGTCAAGACACGAAGGCAGCTCGCATGGATATATGGACTTAGAAACAGATTCTCCAACAGAAATAAATACTGTATCATCAACCCATCATCATCTGAAGCAAACAAAAGGAAGTGAAGAAACCCTTTTAACCACTACAGAAATAGAAAATGGACTGGTTGCAATGCAAACCACGCCTTGTGAGTATTGCACGCAAAGTGCTTCCGATCACCATTCAACAGCGAGTGCTGTAGAAACCGAAAGTCATTCAACCAGTCTATCCACTGCAACTCACGAACAAAGTCAAAAAGAAGTATTTGAACAGACATCTCAAACAGAAAATGAAATTGAGGAAACCTCGAAACTGGAACATGATTTGTATTCCAAAACAACTTTGCGCCATTCCACAAGTACATCAGCTACACGAGAAACGTATACTGAAGAGGAGGAAAAGGAGGAAGTCACTAAATTGCATTCGCATTCTACTATGGAAAAATTCGAAACAGAAAAAGAGTCAACACATGTCTCAAAAACAACTGAATACCCTACATTTTCCACTACAGAAGAAACTGAACCACCGGAGGAGATAGAGGAGCAAACAACAGTATCATTAGTTCATACTACCATACATACCGAGGAACCTACTACAAAGCAAGCAGCCATAACGAACGGAATTGAAAATCATACAGAAAAGATTCAAAAAATCAGCGAAAGCTCGACTGAAACCGTAACTCATAAGCCTGTTGTTTACGTCATAAACAACTCTAAAGGCAAATACAAAAAAATTAATGAATTGATGATAGAACAAATTATAAGCACTGGAGTTCCGAACGTAGAGTTACATGTGATAGACTTAAATGATGAAGAAGTTCCTAAGTCTCTAGAAACTATGCATAACCGAAGTTGGGATATTAATATTCCTCATCAAATCTGTAGCAAAGCAGACTTTGACTCTGAAAACAACTGTTTCTGTAATATCAACAGTTATTTGGATACATTAGAAAACCGGGTCAGCAAAAAAGAAGAAATCAAAGCAAAAAACAGCTACTGCAAATCGTTTTTCAAATTAACGAAAGGACTGAGCATAGAAAATTCTATAGAACCAATTAAGAGAAAGAGAAGAGGCTTAATTTACCTGGACGATAAGAAAAAGAAAAGTGATACTCTGAATTTCGATTCAATTGAAGGGATGTTTGATCAGAGCTTCAAGCTACCGATTTCAGGTAGGCACTGCTTTATTCAGAAACATGTTATATTAATTAGTTATCTTTTGTTTTAGAAGCCAATATGTTTTATTTACCAACAGAAACAGTTAATATTTTATGCAGCAACTCCTCAGCCGAACATCAGAAAGATGTTTCGTGGACTTGGTCGTTTTATCCAATATCTTCACCAAATGGTAAAAGTTGCATTCAAAGATGAATAGCTGTGCTAAAAATATGTTAGAGCAATATCATTTTAACACTGCATCTTATGAAATTTCGCAATCCGTCAGAAGTCTAGAAAACAGCTTTGCCATTGTGTATCTGAATTGAATTATCATGATTTTTGGGTTTCAGCCCAACTACTGCCTGAAAGAGGCTCCGAACTCGTAATCCATGACGGCCTATTGAAACACTCAGGAAACTATACATGCAAACATGAAAAAACCCACCATTTACCAGCAGCTGAACATTGGCATGAACTGGAAATGCTTACTTTTCCAATTTATCAAATCATACTGAACATCTACTACAAAATTAACGATTCCTGCAGTTTGCAAATTGGTGATACTTTATACGCATACTTGCCGAAAATTATTAGTCCATTATTATGTACAAAAGATGGTGAAGTGTGTTCTTTGGACATCGATAGACCAAGATGCTTAACCAGGGTGAGTTCGTAATATTTTGCTCATAGAAAAGATATGTGTGTTTTGAAACTGTTTTAAAACTTGATTATTGATTAGTTTCATACGTTATTCGTTATTGCAGAAGTTTACGTTATTACGTTTTGCATGTTTTGTTTTGTATTTTGTATATTTTCCAGCACGTTTTCAAAGAATTCCTTAGTTCTAGTAAAATGATAAAACTACTGAAACATTTCAGAATATTTTAACAATGTATCTGAGATGTTGCTGCTCTCAAAATGGCAGACCAATAATTTCTGAAGAAAAGTTCACGTTTTTACTGCATTTTATTTCAATTTAATTTACATTTCAGGAAGACGATAATTATTTTAATGTAACCATAAACGTGAAAACTATTTCCGACTTTGTCTTACGCTTTTCAACAACATGTGACATCAACTGCAAATTATCAGTATACGAAAATGTGGTTAATATGGTGTACAAGAACTCTGAAATGATTGTAAAACTTCCAGGTAGAAGCGTACATTATCGATGCTAATTTGATAATTAGATGCGTATTTTCAGTGTTATCTAAACTTGATCAATTGCACCAAATTGATTTCATTCCACACTTGAATGGGAAAGTCGGAAGTCCCGTTACTATTAAAGCACCTAAAGTTGTTGTAAATTGCGCAGCTGGATTTGGGTTGGAAAGCGAAAAGCAAAGAGTCTGTGGTAAGTAAATTCTGATTAAACAGTACTTATTCTTTACTTTATTTCTTCCGTTGTCATTAATAAATTTATGTTCCTAAACAAACTCGCCTAAGTTGAACTGAGACAAGTTCTTTAGGATGATCGGAGTCAACTCTAAGTGGAATTCTCATTACTCAAGCTTGTGTTATGGGTTGTCAGGACCTACATAAATGACTTCCGAGCTTAGATGAAGTTATTACAGAAATAGCCCGATTATTCCCAATAAATTCAAACGAGAAGATCACTTTAATTACTGCAATGAGTTGAAGTTGGACAAATTAAATTCTTTGCTCACTAAAAGTTGTATTTTTTGCAAGCGAGAGACTTATAATAACGACATCTGGATGTAACTGATTTTGAGTCCAGTAGACTACCGATTAAGCAGAGATGTTAGTAGTTTCATTCATAGCGGGTTCATCTGCTAGTTACTTTATCACATTTTTATCTACATTATTGTTTGTCATATAAAATTGGACAGTAAAAACTGAGTTCTATGCAAACTTAGGCACATTTTAAGTAAGGAATTTAAGTTGCAAGATGGTCACATATATAGAATAAAGTTAACGTAAAATTAACAATTGATCCTGAAGTTCATATAGTAAACTGTTCATGATATTAAATTTAAGAAAACGAAAATAAGAGGAACATTGAGAAACACACAAAAGACGTAAGAATAATACGTAATTAAGTCAGAGTGCGTTATATATGTGTGGGCCCATAATTGCTCGCAAAGCAAATTAAAAAAACTGAAGCTTGCTTCTAGGAACGCAGTATTCACGGTACTATCAGAACAGTTTCTTAAGATAAAAACCATGAAAAATAACATCACAAGATTTTTGCTTCTGAAAAAATTCGAAAAATTTAAGTATGATTACTTAAAATTGAACACCACTAGATCTTATCAAAGCTTTCCAAGTTACCAGAGCTTTCGCGTTTGATCTTTAAAGTTTAAAGCAAAAATTTGAGAATGAATTTTGTTGTAGTTGTATGTCCTCCGCAAACCTTTAGTCCAGATAACGCAGCATTTTGCACCAGCTGCCCAGGAGGGCAATATCAACCTGAAGCTGGATCGAAAACTTGCATTCAGTGTAATTCTCCGGTTGATGATAAGCTATGTCTACGAATGCTGGTAAGTCAAACGGAGTTTGCCAAATACTTTAATGGGTTTTTATACTTATGCGAACTTTTCCTAATTGAAAATATCGATGCTAAATTATTTATACGGTTTGTTTTATAAAAATTATCCTTTGATCACAAAGGTTTGGTTGGTAGTAACAATAGTTTTTAACTGAATATTGAAATATTAAAGCTACTTCTTTATATACTACTTTGGAAGTCGTGAGGCGTGACCGAGATGTGATCACTCATCCATTCAACTGTAGTTTTGCGGAAGAAATATTTTTTTAGAGAACGAATAAAATCTTATACAATATCTGCATTGCTCGCAAAAGGCCCACTTTCAATTGATTTTTTTAATATTTGAAGTTACTAAACGTTTCCTTGATCCTCAAATGTCGAATTGAATACTAACAATTTTGTTATAGAACTTTAAGACTATACTCGGCTTAGTATTACTGTTTAAGTAAATATCATTTTCAATCTAACGAATGAGTTAAGTGATAATCGAATTTTTATCAAAATTCCTTTTTTGTTTCAGTATACAAACACCAAGCTATTCAAAATCTATGTAGGTGTTGCATTTGCTGTAATCGTCTTAATGATTATAATAATCATCGTGTGGACAAGCGGATTTAAAGATGATTCCCATGTAGAAGATAGATATAAAGGATCTCTTAGACATAGAGCAGCTAGCAATAGAAAGGATATAGATTTGGAAACAGGCGTTAATGCCCCTTTACTCGGCCGTTCCCCCAATAGAGCAGCACCGCAACTTCCTCCACTCGACTTTTAAGAATCATTATATATATTTATTTATAAGTCTATTATTTTGTAAAAATAAATAAAGCTTTGATAATAGCAAGTAACTTGGAATTTATACCTTAGAGTTATTTATCATAACTCTACAAAGAGCAAATATTTTTTTAAAGTTTAAAGCAAATAAAAAAGTGCGAGGGACAAATGTTCAATTCAAACCACAATGACAATTCATACTACAAAAGTAAGAAAAATTATGGTTGAGAACTTGCAATTACATATCTGATTTATATGTCGTAAAAGTAGCGATTATTCCTGTTCGAAATGTATTTTTGCCTCATTTATTTAAAGCATTTGAAGTGCCTATGAAACTGCATAATAGTTCCAAGTATATGCCAGTTACATATTATCTGCAGGTTTAATTAGGCGCTTCTAAGCACAGGTTTGCTTCTAATTACTAGTTACCTGCCGCTTTTTACTCCAAACCTTTATTAGAAGCTTTAAGTTAATGTGAATTAATTTTCTGACAAAGAATGAGCTGGACCATTCTATGTTTTTTGAAAATGTTTAGTGTTTGTTTAAGCTCCTCGCCCGCTCATGCAGACACAGATATTTCGTTTTTGTTTGATTTTCTTCAACAGACCAATAGACCTAATTATGCTGTCCTTGAAAATGTATGCTGGAGTAAAGGTAATGTTGCAAATATAAATTAAAACCGTTTCTATTGGATAAGTTAATGCTAATTAATTTTTGTTGGCTTCTAAAATAATTAATATATGCAACGCGCTCATATGTTGACTTTCTGATAAGTCTCGTTACAGAGGAAACTCAGAAATTGCATAGAAACCTGACAATGCAAAATTTCAAATGCAAATCTGTAGACGGCAATAGCACGATAATGACTGAACGGTATTATGAGCATTCCTACATTATACTTGTACATGTAGATTGCGATTTTGATACAATCTGGAAGCAGGTAAGTGGTTAGCACCGAAAACACCAATATATTATTACTTCCAGCGTAATAATCTTAAGAATCTTCGAACGCGTCATTTTTATTTCGAAAATGATAACTTTGGAACCTTTTGCTTGCAACAGCCTAACTAACCAATTGGATTAAAAAATCATTCTTTTTGCAACCTGAACCTTTATCCAATCATGAATTACATTAATCCAATATAAGAAAAAATATGAAACACATATTTCAAATATCTTTTGTAGCACTTATCATCAAGCTTGCATTTTCATCTGTTAAAGTGCGTCACGTTACAGTAAGTTTTATTAGTCATTTAATTATTTTAGGCTGCAAAGGGTTCCCTGACATTTTACCCTCACATTTGGATACTACTTGGAGACTTCGAGAAGATTAAAAAGAAAAACGTTCATATTCCTATGAATAGCCTTCTGCTCTCTTTAGTAAGAACAGCAAACTATACCAAACTTGAAACCGCGTATAAAATTAAAAAAACTGTTGACTGGTATATTGAGAGAACCGTAGGAAATTGGTCACCAAAGGTTGCAAAGTTTGATCTCGAAAAAGTTAACATATTTAAGGACAGAGGGAATTTCATGAAAGTGCCTTTGAGAGTAACATATATAATCACGGATAATAGTACGGTTAATCATTTTATTGATTACAGGTATGTGATTCAAAAAAATCAAAAAGAAGTAGCGTTTACTTGCTTGAATCAAAAATTTTGCTATCCAATCATCTAAGACAGAATATATGTATTATAACACCCATTATTCAGTACAGGTACACTTACGTCCGTATTTAAGGTGTATTGAACTTATAGGAATAAACATGTTGACAACCTTACCAAAATTAATTACGTGCTCTATATTTTAATATTTGATATACTAAATGCAACTCAAATTCGCCTCTTCAGCAGAGGGTGGGGATTTGAGAGTAGGGAGAACAATGGATCTTTTGCATCAGGGATGTTTCAGGATCTTGCAAACGATAGATCTGATATTGCAGGTATTTCTACTTTTTATTTTCTAGTGAGTAAAAGCCATTTGCACTTGCAAATATTTAAAAACGCATACATTTCATAATTTTAGTAAAAAGGTTGGTTTTAGGTACTCTTGCATTCACCCCATCTTCACGTTTAAAATACTTTCGATACATTTATCCGCCTGCAAAAGACATGGATATTTGCTTGGTGTTTAGAGCACCTTCTTTAGCGTATTACACCAATGTATTTGGTTTACCGTTCAATAACTGGGTATGGGTTGCATTAGGTTTACAGTTGCTCTGTGGATGTGTGTTGATTTTCATTATTTTCAAATGGGAATGGAAAGTCGCACAAGGAAGAAAGGAAAATGGACCATCTTTTCTGGATACAGCTATGATGCAGGCACGTCGATATTTATTTGTTGTAGAGTATGCCTTCTTGGACTTCAGATAGGATGAAACATTCCTGTTTGATTTAGTATGTTGGCACTCCCAAATGCTCTTTACAGGGTAATTTTGAGAAATACGCTAAAATCGATGAGGCTGATCGGAAAGAATTCTTAAAGATAGTGAACTACTTGCAACTTTACTATTTCAAACAATATTTCCTGTATAGTTCTGCAAATATTTACTTATAATTAGGGCGATTCAGGAGGAAATAAAAATAATTTAAAAATAGGTTTAAGAATTAAAAATCAGCTCATATGTATTGTACATACATCCAATATATATTTTTTTTATTTGTCATTGTAAAAATTTTTATTGTTAGTTTCTAAATTATAATTAATCTATCATTATGAATCATAATTAATCAAACGATCTATCGACCACGCACATACAATATCTAAAATGTTCATTTAATGTTTGTTTAAAATGTTCAGAGTAATGGAGTCAATCATTAGCTGGATTGCAAGATGCGCAAATAATAGCAAGATATTTAGTTCGTTGCGTCATATAAATCGATAAAAAAGTGTAAGCTATAAGAATGGTAAATTTACATTTCAAAATTAACCAGAGAGGTCTCTCAACATACGAAATATAAATGCAGTTTCTTTATTTTATGAGTCAAGCATTCGATTTAATACGAAGAGATTTGCTGCAAGCCTTAATCGAAATATTTAACAAAATAATATGTTTTTTCAAATATGCTTGATGATGAAATGATACAAAATGTACAAAAAATATTTCTCTTTATCCCACAATTCTCATTACGGAACTGAGTGAACTCAACACCTGGTAACAAACACACTTTCAAGAACATTGAGAGTTTAACATTTATACGATATAGTGATAGCAAACTTGGTGTTTTATAAGTGAAAAAATTATTTTTTTGACACACAAATTTCTAATTGTTATATAAATGTAATCTTCACGTAAACACAGCTATTGATGATTTGTTTCATTGCTGATAAATATATGATAATTTTGGAGACATCGACTGATCACTACTTGAAACCTTGCCACTATTCGACGTGAGAAAGAAAAATAGTTTTACCTCGAAAAAAAATGAGAACCGATTTGTATCTGCATTATGTCGAAAGGACCCTTCTAAAACTATCACACAAAGGGCTTTGTGAAAGAATAAAACATTCCCAGGAATACCGGTACCTACGTATCCAATTTTATACTCTGCAGCTGTAAAATGTTTCAAATAAACGAGTATATTTCGGTAACAGTTGACTTTTGAAACTTCCTAATAATAATGTTTGGATGCATCAAATTTTGTTGCAATTTACTAGAATATCCATCGAAATTGAGAGATTTATACCACTTCTGAGATTTATTGACTGCGTTGAGAACTCCAAGATGTTTTTATTTTCGATTCAATCCCTTAACGCCAAGTGATGGGTATGCATTGAATTGATCAAAAATCTTTCACTTTATAAAGAAATAGTACCATAAACCTTTCTAAAAAAAGTAATAAATATTTGTTGAAAAATGTAAATGTGTTAAAAAGTATGATGTTTTTTTATATTATTTTTGGAACTTTCAGATTGCCATAGCTTGCCAACAGGATTTTTTTCATGAGCCTAAAAGTATTTCGGGAAAAATGGCTACACTTTCCATTCTAATATTTTTCACCTTTATCTACACAGCGTTTTCCGCAAAAATTGTTTTATTTCTTCAACTGAGCACAAACAAAATTAACGATGTTGGGAGTGTGTATGCTGCAGGCTTCGATTTCGCTGTTGAGGATCAGCCTTTCAATCAATACTACTTCAAAGTAATAATAAACATTTTGGCAAAATATACTGAAGTTTTGTGTAAATACAACTTATATTTTTAGGGTCCCAGCGATAGAGCAGAAGAGCAGTTGAGAAAACAAATATACGAAAAGAAAATCCGACGATCGCATGGTGATCAATTTGTAAGTGCCGAAAAAGGAATTCAACTTGTTCGAGATACATTCTGTGCATTTCACGTCGAAAGGACAGTCGCCCATTATCTGGTCGACAAAACCTTCTCCAATAATCAAAAATGTTCACTGCGTTTTGTACGAAGCATTTTTAAGTCGGATATGCCATATTTATCTATTCCTTGGAACTCTTCTTACATAAAATATTTTATAATAAGGTTTGTATCTTTGAATATTTGACAACCCTTACAACATTGACTCGACTCGACTAAAGTCGACGGTGCTCACTTTTCGCCAAATTTTATTTTATTAGTCTCAATATACTGAACTGAATTGTAAAAGCATGTGTGTCAAATTGTTTGGAAAGGTCTGCAGAAGAGCTCAAAATAATGATAACAATTAGATTTTCAGAAAACCTGATTATGTGCAATTTAATAATAAATATACTGTTTGCAGATTTACTGAACCAAAAAACATCTTTACTTCCTCTCTCTATCTTACTTTACTAATCTTAAATTTACTGAACCATAAAATATATAAAAATATCAGAGCTTTTCCGACCAGATGCCTAATAGATGTAACGTATAAGTGTATAATCGATTTACTACCTGCTTAATTTCTTCAATTTCATTTGTACTTTAGTTTTAGGAGATTGGCAGAAACTGGATTACAAGACAGGGAATGTAAAAGGTGTTATGCCAAGAAACCCTCTTGCGAAGGAAAAGCCAACTCATTTGTCAGTGTTGGATTAATTGAAGCTTATTTCCCACTTCTTATTTTTGGTGTCGGCATATCGCTATGTATTTCAATTCTAATCCTTGAAAAGTTAGTTCACAAATATATAAAACTGCATTAAACTCAAATATGGATAGACTGTGTTATCGATAGTAGATGTTAGATAAGTAATAAAATTGCAAACATCATTAGAAAACGGCTTGTCTTTCTATTATCAAGATAATTTCCAACATGCCTTTTTTAATAGATACACCAAAATTTCGGTATTTATCTAAGTCAAGTGAATCTAAATAAAGGAATGTAAGTTAAGTGACTACACTTTAACTTTAAACATAATTACGATGTTTCCAACTGTTCTGTCGGTTGGCATTTAAAAAACAAATTAGCAATTGTGTTCTTATATATCTTCAATTTTAATAATTTCAAGAGCGTATTTAAAAATTGGTTTGGTGATCCCATTTCCCTTCGCTAAAGATCGAAAATAAAAGTGCATTGGTGCAGCTAAACCATTTTCGATAAGGCGACTAGACATTCATAAATGCTCCTTTCACATTTACCATCTGCTCCAGTATCTAATAATATATGATCATGCCGATGGTCTTTTCTTTATATGGAAATGTACTTTTATCAAATTTGTTCGTGTCGTTCCGATCTTCGAACTCACCTCAACTGAACTAAATGATTCACTCTTGTCTTGCGTCGTAAAATAATAATAGTTCGATTAAAAACAAGTTTTTATAAAGAAATTATTAATTCATACTAAGTTTGAGTGTTACAACATGTTAAAATAGTAACAGGTTCAACGTGCGTGGACGTACCACGTACTAGTGAGATCATTCGATCATTGTTTAGTTGGTAAATGTCGAATTGCTCATAAAAATGAGCAATTAACATGTTTTCCCTATAAGGTGCTCTAATCCCTGGATTCTATGCAATAAATGACAAAACAAAGCTCTGACCGGTTTTTAATAGATAAATATTTTTTAAAGATGTTTATATGAGTCACCAGCATTAGTTACACCATGGCTGTAATGAGAAGTTGTACTTCTATCAATATAAATGTAATCTAAATAAAGTAACGTAGGTATACTTTGGTTCCCAAAATAATTAGTATTTCAAAAAATAATTCAAATGTAATGGAAAATTACTGATTATTATATTAACAAAAAAAGAATTATGACTAAGAATAACATTAGACATTGATCCTTTGACAACAAATATCATCAATTATTATTTTGCGCCTTCTGCATAATGGTTAAAAATGTTAAACCTACGCGCATAATTAATTTGCAATTGTTTAAAATGTCATGTTCTATTTCAATTGCTTCTTAAAAGCTGCAAATTCGCTCTGAACGCGTACTATCATGGATGTACATCCGCTTAAGTCTACGTAAAGATATAGATAATTTGAATCACATTGGTTTGTGGAAACATTTAAATTTGTTTATTGTCTATGCAGCGATAAAATTTACGAACAGCAGTTAATAAGAAAAGCTGGCTAGTGTTGATCATCAACCTATTTTAGCTTACTTTGTTATTTTCCATAGATTTATTAGCATCTGGTACGCTGGCAGTGCTTTGTGTTTCGTTTGTTTTGCGTAATTATTGATAGCAGGCAACATTGCAGTTTTCAACTAAAATAGTTTCTCGATTCTCAGCTATTGATTGTGAACTAAATAATTTTGGAAAAAATTGAAATGCAACATAAGTTTTTTTTTTTTTTGAAGATACGAAGGCATATCCAAAAGGGTAGCTGCAGCCGGTTCTTTGCCGAAACCCCCAACGGTCAAAAATTCCACATGACTTGAAGCATCTGCTGTTCTGGCAAATAAACAAACGGCTAGTTTAGGGTCGACTTTTTGAGGATTGTTACGCCAAAATGCAGACCCACTTGGGGGCTGACTGACAATTTCAATGCCGGCAATCTACTCAGCTCTATTTTTAATAATGTTAGCTTATAAACGTAATATGATGCAAGTGTACATGCATAAATGTAATTTTCCTAATCTTATAGACAATACTGATAATGCTTTCAACTCGTAAACTTATGGCATCATTTGTACAATACAAACATAGGAAAATCATTAGTTCAGCTAACAATAGGAAGTATCTAGATGTGAAAATTGGGTGGGTAAACGGCAACGAAAAACGAGCAAAAGTGGGCGTCGGAACTACGCAGTAAGCTCGAATCGTTAGAAAAGCGTACAGACATGACAAAGACGAGATAATGCTCAGCAGCAAATCAAAGAGAGAACATGGAAGAAAATGGCAACAAGGGTATATAAACGGATCAATACGGACCCCATGTCACGTAGAACCCTCTCCAATATCGAGAATGTTCTAGATGGTAGGGACAAGCGTATAAAAGCGCGGCCGTTTTGGGAAAACTGTGCAGTTATTGGTGAGTGCTCTTTTGCTGCGTATGCTGTTAGTGTCTGAGTGCGCCACGTCATCAAGCTAAGAGGATGGGTGAGAGGTGTATAGTTAGAAAAGCCAGCTGGCGACGCCATATCCTAGTCAGGTTTTGATACAATCGAATTTCTATTGCATACATTTACGTTTCTTTAATAATTATTTGCAAAAGTCTGCTTATATTGCGTTCCGTTTGCATCTGGCCAATGCAAATGGACGCCATATTTACTGTAGTTGCGAATTCTTCTAGAATCATTAGCTACTAAATTTGCAAATGCTGTGTTACTCTCCGCAAAACGTACCAAGTTTCTGCATTAATTTCAGAGAATTCCAACATATGCCGTTATAAACATCGTTCCTATCCGTAATCCAAAATGGCGCCTTAAGATAGGTAGGGTGCGGTCATCTAGTCTACAGCGCAAGCGCTATTGCGCTGCGCAAGACGAAATCGATAATCACTACCGAAGCAGAATTAAAAATCCTATAATGGCGTAGAGGTTGACGGAAATAAGTATGGGTATGATTAATAGTGACTTAAATATTTAAAACTTTAGAAAGAAGCCTATTGCTTCGATTAGGTCCTTAAATAGGCCGATGGCCGACCATTCTAAGACATTTTTCTAGATTTTATCAACGTTTCGAGCGAAGTCGAAGAAGTTAATGCAGCGCGGGTTCATATTTACTCACTCCGGACTCATTCCCCCTCTGCTGCCTCTTAATATAAATTTTTTTCTTCAATCGATATATAATATGTGTTTATAGAATCTGTGATGTCCTGGACATATAGAGATCTGTTTAGCATTAAAACATACTCAACATTGCCTACAATTTAATAACTAATTTTATATTGATCGACATGATACAATAAGGTATCGACTTTGAAAATATTCCTGATATTTTCGCAGATAACCTTTGCAGAATAAAAGTTATTAAATTGAATACAATTGGGCATTGCCATATGCTTAAGCCACCGTGCTTACCTTTTAGCACGACAATGCTAATTCTGTAGCCCCCATTTATATTTTATCGAAAACATGGCGTTTGTACAAACTATGACATCGTTCGTAATAAAAACATTTTTTTAACTAAAACCAACTCTTCGAAGTATTATTAAAATATACCATTTTCCCACAAAATGCAGTAACTACTGCAGACTGTGATCGCTCTAGAGAATCACTAAAGGTAAAACTAATGGAATTAAAAGTAGGTATTAAAATGCTACCCGACCCGACGTGATCCATTAAATCTTCGATAGGGGCGGGCCGTCAAGAAGTAAGTACAAAGTTAAATTTTTTCTCACTAAGTTTATAATTGTGTGTTACTTTTCGAGCTAATTGTTTGGCGGAAAGTTGACTATTTAAAAGATATTTTATTGCCCACATTATCTTCAGATTTTTTGAAAATACGAATTTTTTATACCGACGAGTAGGTACAGAAGCCGTAATATCCATTGCGTGATATTACATATTTTATATTGAAAGTTGAGTGCTTTTCGTGCGTAAACATATCATAAACATGGGACATATTTACAATACAAGCAAATGAAACTTTAGATTCACGATTTTAATAGGTGAAGAAATATTATTTATACTTTCAAGAAAACGAAAAATGTCGCATTGAGTTCCCTGTTTCGAGCTGCAGATCCCGTTGCATTTTGCCATTTACATACTGTACAAATTTGGGTGCTGTACAAAAATGAGTTTCTATTAGTCTTTTACATTACCACACGTCTCTACAAACCCCAAGCGCATTTGCGGCAATACATGAAAAATGTAGCGTTTAGACTAAGTAATCGATTGGGTTGTTGGGTAAACTACTTTGCGGCATTCTGTTTAACACGAACTAACTCAATAGCGAATAAACTAAGTCGCAAAATGATCTATAGAAAATGAAATCGACTTTAGGTATTAACATTCTTTTAGGTACAATCTGAGATAACCTGATGCAATAATGCAACCAATTTCCCCACTGTTTTTGCCTACCTGTTGAGTATATAAATTTTCATTTACAACTTTACTTCTTTCCAAAAGTACTGGACAACTGAAACGGCTTTAACCCTGCAAGCGGCAGAATCAGCGGAGACAAATACATTAGGTATTACCCGAGTAAAACTTCGATATACGCACTACAATACCCATAAAAATATACGCCGCGGCCATAAACATCCATTCAGAACCGATTAGGTACGCCGAAATAACAACTGCAAATAATACGTCTTGATAAATAGGGTATTGTTAGAAATATAAACGATCAGCAATCAAAGATTTTCTTACAAATGCAAACATGGTCAATCGTTAAAGTTGAGTATAACATGAAGAGCGCAAATGGCAAGTCACAACCTATTTATGATAGTTTTAAACTTACCTGGGCATCCTTTACCTTTTGCAAGTGAGTCAAGAATTCTCGAATTTTCGAGTCCTCGGCTGCCAGATTTGAAACATTTCGTCTTGGACATTCTGCAAATTTGAATAAAATCACTAGTCTTTTATTTAGCAAGCATTCATGAGAATATTCGGAATGAAATGCCAGTCCTTTAAAATAAAGTAAAGCGATTTTAAAAATCGAGCCGTATTAACAATTTTTGTCTCAAATAGTTCAATTTGCCACAACTACCAGTTGTGAAGTGGCACATGCATCTGAAGTGCCGGCTTTGAAGTAAGACCATCCTACTGTTTTTACCATTACAATTAGCTCGAACTGAGCGATCAATCTCTGACTTATTTTAGGTCAAAAGTGTTTTATCCTATTACCTAATCAAAGTTTTGCGCCCAGTCTCCATCGAATACGGCACTTTAAATGTTTATCAAATTTACGATGTTTAATTTATAAAACATACAAAAAGCATCTGTTTAATTAATTACGGCCTCCCTTTTTAAGTCAGCTACCATCTTAACCGATATTATCGGCATAAATACATTTTCAGGATTGAAGAATACAAGGCACGAATTGACACAGTTTTCCATACGTTCATTTGCGGTTTCTTTGTATGCAATTTCCAGCTCTAGCCAAGATAATGTGTAATATCTGTTGCGTACGAATTTATTGCATACAGAGCCATCCAAAAAATTAAGAGCACTTTAGCAATTGGCCAACGAAGTAACAATTGGGCATACGGTCTTAAGGGATTCTGATTGTAGATTGAATTTTACGCTAGTGGACAGTTTTCTGATTTGTTGTTATTTTTTTGTTTCGCTCTGTATTAACGTACGAGTAAACTCGTGTCTATTGGTGGCTTTGAGTACCGGACGTTAAGTATATGATCTCGTTTTCTCCTATTTTACTCTGGCTTTTCCTACTTTGTCTCGTATAAATCTTTATTTCGTACGACTTTAAGCATCTTTACTTGTTACTGTAACAAAGATAGTTGCAATTTGTCATTTTTGCTGAAAAATATTGCTACTCGCCTTCCTGTCTTACTTTAATAAGGTTATATGCATTGCCCTGTATATCTAGACTTAACAATAATTAACTTTTCGCCATGGAATTGCTACATTTACTAATTTAATATTTGTGCAGACGCAATATTTAGGCTAACGTAAAATTTAGGCGATTTTTATAGTTTTAAATATGTAAAATAATTACATAATCCGTCTCAAGTATACATAGATAGTGATTTCAAACATTTTTTATTGGCTATTTTGCCTCGAAAATATTTGTCTTTTTAATTCACCACCTAGAAGGTATCTTTCCACATACTTAGGCTTAAGCTGTCATAAAATTGCAATTAGTAAAAAGAGTATTTAGAAAAGTTACCGTTTAGAGTTAAGTTTCGACAGCAAATTTACTGTCTTGATTCAGAAGGTATTTGAAAAGGAATATATTAGTAAATTGTTAAACAATAAATAATTTAATACAAATCTGTAATAATTTGCTCTAGAAATATTTCGATATTTTTAATCTTGTTACATGTTTGTTCTGTCATCTACTGTTTAGCAATTTACTAATACACACTTGTTTAAATATATTTCGATAAATATTTCAGAATTGCTATCGAAACGTCAACTTTTCTAAATTAATTTCTATACTAACTAGTAAATACCCAACGAAAAGGTTTTGAAAAAATGTATACTTGCCGTACTGTTTGGTTTTTCTACAAATAACTGCTTTAAATTTAGCTGCAACTAATTTCAATTTTGTCCGTAAAATAAAACTACTACTAAGTTTGCCAACTTTCATTTATCTCTATCTTAACATGTTACAACCCGTGTTTAATTATTTTAGGAGACTTGGGTTTAACAATCAATTAGGCACAAAAACAATGTTCACGTCCTTGGGGTCTTAAATAGCAGTCATTCTATCGAAACAGTTTTCAGTTTACTACTATAATTGTGGAGACATAAATTGTCGGATACACATACATTGCCTAGAATTTCCAACATGTAAAATTACTTCGGTAATTTTACATAATATTATATTTCGTTCGGGCTGACACACTCATTTTTCCACATATTCACCTATGTATGAGCTTTTAGAAAAAAAAACTGGCGTTTTTAATGAAGTCCTGCAGATTTAGATAATTATTTCTAAGTTCTTCATCGTTAATGTGCATTGACTTGGGCTGTTAATGTAACTTCTATTATTTGTTCTCTTTGATTGATTTTCATTATACCGCTAACATAAACCACTCGGCTTATTTGGATATGTTGAATGTGTTTTGAACTTCTTTTTAACTATAACTGGTTGTCTGTTGTTCTGTCTAATTTTTTATAACTTTGAATTGCAATTACGCAAATGCATTCTTCACCCATTTTTTACATTTTACGTACTCATTATTCGTGTGTAATTATGCTTATATATTTGTTATATCCATGTCGAACTAAATATGCTTTGTAAAGTTTTATTCCAATTTTATATGGAGTTGAAAATTAACACTACGTATATTGAATTTTTAGCTCAGCAGAAAACTGGCATTGTTTTAATATCACGTCGTCATCACTTTACATATGCACGTTTTAATTAAATATCTTTGATAAGCAGACGTTATTAGACTATTTTAATGTAATTATTACCTTATATGTGCACATACAATAATTATCATCGCCATTATTCTAAAGGTTTATTTTTACTAACAATATTTTGAATATGAAATCTATGTATTATTTTTATGAATTCTTATCGCTAGTTTAAAAGTTTACTTACACACTCGCTATCTTTAACTTGAGTTTTGCATAAAATAATAATGATATATTTAATTATTATGATTATCATTTTATAGTAAGCAGGGATCTCACTAGGAGGTTTTAGTTTACTTCGTAATATATTTTAAAAGAATGTTTCTAAAAATATAGTTTTTAACTCCCTTAATTTGGGGTACTATGGTTAATATCTTCAAGCATAGAAGAAAGGCAGTTGTTATTTGTTCAATTTAATTAAATTTATTTAGAATATGAGAAGTAAAAATCCGAGTAAAACTTACATAAATTAGTGGTGAGAGATATTCCTTTCCCTCTTATAGATTTATATAATTTTGCGTAAATCATTCTTGATTTCTTTAAAATGGTGAGTTTTTGACCCAATAGTTAAAGATAAATAAATTTAAATTTGAATAGCAAACTAAGAAACATTAAGAACAAGATATAATGAAGCAACAGAAGTGCTATTATAGAACAAATAAAATTTGTGATTTTCTCAAGCTTATTTTGTACATTTCCTTCAATTCTTGCATTAGCAGAGTAAATAAGGACCGACTAAGAGACAGTAAGTAAGACTGCTTGATTTCTTGTGTAATTAAAATAATTTCGTATTTAAGCAACCAATCATTTTGATTCACACACTAAAGAAGTATTGTTTAGCTTTTTTATTTAAATTTAAACATTAGGAAAATTAGGCGTTTGTGCTGTGTATTTTATTGAAAAATATAGAAGTTACTAACATTTAAGCAAATATCCAAACAAGTTAGATTTAAGCATAAGCTGAAATGCAGGTATTCGTTTATCATCTTGGCGCTTCTGATCTGGCTCGCAACATTTGTTAACCAGGTTCCATTTGGCGATTCTTTGCGACTTGGTCACGAGCTGTGAGTCGGCAACACAAATGTAGCATTTAAGAACTAACTGCATTAATATTAATGCCTTTTCGCAATGGATCGCTCTACAAGGTGAAACAATGTTTCGGGGACTAGATGAAAATGCCGACCGACTGAGAACTACATTTTAATGTTGTGTTCGATACTGGTAAATATTTCTGCTTTCTAGTGTATGCATAAGTAGATGTGTTCAAACTCAATTAATCACTAATTAATTTCATGAGTATTTACATAAAGCACCACAAATCACTTTGCATGTTTTTAAAGTACACATTTTATGAAATGGTGTTGGCAAGAACAAGATAGTTTAGGCTGTATTCGGCTGGCAAAGATGCAGACAGGTTGTTACTAGAAGATCAGATTTTGACATTGGTATCTCGATTATATTGCATTTACCTCCCTAGGCCTTGCTGTATAATAATAAATGTCGCGGTGTTAGATGTTTATAATCCGATTGCTGTGTCAATTTCTAGATGTTTTGGTTAACCCTAGTTTATTGATTCGGAAAAAAAGGATCTCAAAGCAGAGGCCCATTTTTTCCAAAATGTACATTCCGGACATGCATTACCAGCAATCAAATCACTACTATTGATTAGTACTTTTTTACGACTGAAAGTAAATTAATTCCTTCAATAGCTTTACCAAAATAATAAAAGCTAATATTTTGTCTCATTAGTGTTCGATTATGTATATTTGCTTAAATATTTTGTCCACTTAAGTCGATCGTGTACATTTTCTAATAGTTCCTAATCAAATAAATTTCACATTTAGTTAATTGATATAGTAATGTTTTTAATATCGCACTTCACTCTATTGTTATATGTATGTAAAGCGTTGAAGCTCGTGGATTGCTATTTGCCAGGTATCAACTAAACAATTCCTAGTTTTATATCTGTAACAATCTAAACAAAAATATTTAAAATTTGATCGTTTTAGCTTAACTTCCCAGATGTGAAAAAAACACTTCAAATGTATTTGCTTTTCTGAAAAAATAGATTTTTGGAAATATGTAAGTAGACTGTTCCAAGAGTTGATACTTCTTGAGATTGGTAAAATTTGAGATACCGAGTTATGACACCATATCCGAACAATCACGTTCTACTCTCACGTTTTGGCAATCTTAAAGAATATGGTAAATTTCAATACATGAGCATCCGCAATTGCTTAATGCAGTTTACTATAATGTATCTGTATGATGGTTAGTTGCGCTATTAATTTTCCGCTATCATTTAACTTATTTGTAAGATTTCACCTTCGAACAAAGACGAACACTTGCTTTGAAATGCCGCTTGTATTTAAAGTATTACTAATTGTTTACTGAAAACGTTTGTATTTTTTATTTTCATGTCTGTCTATTTTCACAACTTCACGCTGAATGTAAGCGGAATAATTGCTAATAAAAACCGTTAGAAATAAATTAAAATTTAAGAAAATTAAATAGTCTAAATGTTAATGAAGAAGATTTAAATTTAATATTAAATATTTCTTGATAAAACTAATCTCCTTTAAATAGGATACGTGTTTGTTAAATAATAACGTTGAGTGATTTGTTTTAGCCATCTAAAAAATGACAAAATCTCAACTAAACTGAACATAAATCGGTTGAATTTGTTGCAGGTCTTCCCCCTTTTTTATCTTTTTAACTTTTTCATTTCAATGTTCAAATATTGAAATAATACGAACACAACAGTCTAAGTTATCATAATGTGCTTATTTTCCGACAATATGCGGTCAAATGATTATTTTTATTATTATTCTCCTGGGATTATGAGAAAAAATCACAAAAAAGAAGATTGACCCATTATGAAATTGCTTTCAACTATAATAGGATCAAGAATTCGAGATTGCAAGATTTTCAAATTACCTCCGAGTATTTTTAGGTTAATATTTTTAATAACGTATTAAAGTAAGGGTGGGCGATAAGAGCCTTTATTTAAATCTGATTCTATTAATAATTGCAGTTACATAATTATACAGAAATGGTTATTTTTAAAGAAAATGTAATGTAATTTAATCTCTCCAGTGTAATTTTCCATTGGATCAATCAATAATTTATTAGCTGTTGTCTACAATGGCACAGTAATTACCTGCATGTTTTAGCCAAACGTATTTGTGTTATTTATTGCAAATTATAATGTAGCTAGCCATTAACGTTCAATCAATCAACATTTGTCTTGATGTCGAATGTCTTTAAATTACTAAAAATAACTTTTATTAATTATATGAATTGTTTGCCATTACTCCATATAGGTAGTTAGTTATCTTTTTTACTTCCTTGAATTGTTCCATAAATATTACTTGTATATTCGTTTTTCAAACTGAACTTCAGATTTCTATCTTCACCCAGAAGATTTTTCGCAGATTTACCTTATATTCCAGTAACTTTCGTAACTCAAGCATTTTGCTATTTATTTTATATATACATTTTTCCGGTAGCTTTGCAGATACAGATCTTCACTATCAACATAATGTATGTAACATTTAATGACTGACTCATTTAAAAATGTTAGTAAAACGTGGATTTAAATACGTAGAAAAACCAAAATTGTTTACGAAATTGTCACCACTCTAAAAGTGGGTTTATTCATTTTCAGAAATACTCCTACTATTATTTTAGTCTCTGTGACTCACGTTTTGGTTATTTTTAACTGGTTTTCTTTTAGTTCAGGGTCTTAATTCGTCCTTAAGTTTTCAACGAAGCCCTGGCCTCTATAATTTATCGTTTTGACATACATAGATTTTAGATGTCGTCGGAAGAAAACATTTCAGTTGCTTCACTGGAAACTAAAATTTTAAAGACATTTTCATCTAATACTAGCTGACTATTGGGTCACTTGGATAGTGTTTTTATTTAAATTGGAAACTATATAATAATTTCAATAGGTGTTATTATACAGATACTATTGTGTTTTATTTTTCATGGCAGTCGGCATTAGGATTTAGCTATGACTTGACTGCCAATATAATAAATTATTTCTTATGTATTTAAAGTAAATTAGTTCATTTGCCCATTTGAACTTATCAACTGCAGTAATAATAAAAACAAGAACAATATTCTATTAAAAGCGTGATTTTTTGTGTCTTTTCTGCAACAGCTCATTGGATAGTACGTTCTTTCGATGCAAGCCACTCAACTCTTCAAATCAACCGAATTACTGGTATGACTTTTTTATAATGGCGTGATACAGCTCGGTGCCCTTCTGAATCATTGTGTTTGATGGATTTTTTTACGAAATCTGCTAGAGATGGATCAAGCCATAGCTATCTATCTACACCACTAGTTCATTCAGACCACAAGAAACATTTTGCCAGCAAACCAGTATCTTGAAATCGGAACCACTCAGATTGAACGAGAATTTTTAAATTGCAATAAACCAACGTGTACAAATCAACATTTGTTTGTAATAAAAATGTCGGAATTTTGTTTGTTTTACTATCAATTATTTCCAATTTCATGTGATTAATAAGTGAATGGTCGTTATCAAATGAAATAATGATGCCTTGTACTTTAGATAAATACCTACAGGTTGAATACCGAAAACTACCTAAAAATATTTGTTCCACTGACTCCCTGCAAATAAACTATAAAATAATTACGAAAACCGGAGACTAGTAAAAATATTAAATAAAATAATATAAATACATATTGTGCATGTATAATTGGTTACAAAAATAGCCGCAAATGACTGCATGCAATGTTGTTCATTATTTCCAAAGACTGCGGCTTCTATTCATATAATTAAAAATATATGTCCTTTAAACGAGTTCAGAGAACTTTGTTGTAGTGAGAAATCCAAATACTGTTAAAATCTTGTTTTGTTTTTGAAGTTTTTCAAGACAATTGTAGAAAATAGAAATACTGCAATTTCTATTCCACCTAAGCGTTTTTGGATAAATATAAATGGTTTGGCGATAAACTAATCAAAAAATTTCTATCGTTACTTGTATCCCGATTATAAACGACAATTTTGAATATTATGGCAAACTTGATTTTCAACGACGTAAATGTTGACTTAATTTTTGCATTAAGTTTTTAACAGTGAAGTAATTAACATAAGTATATTACCTTAAATAAAACTTATTAGAATAAACGTTTTGCAAAGCATCGCTTTTTAAGGGTAGTTTCAAAGTTAAAATTCAGAACTTGATAGCAGATTTCGAGTTTGTTTTATTGAAAAATTTAGAGGTTGGGAATACAACACAATATTATAAATATCGTATGTTAAATATTAATTAGGTTTACAGTGAAACAATGGCGTGATATCGTAAATTAGGTTCAAAACAGTCGCAATTAAATGAATTTGGAAGGAACACGATGTTAAAAGTATTATTTCACTAGTTGGAAATAGCTCACCCTGTTTTTGCTTTGCTCGTAGGTGGTAAAAGCAAGTAGATTTCTTAACTTCATGTAAAAATGTAAAAGAACAAGGAAAAGTTCAGTCATTTGCCAAGTTCAGCATTAGAGCATTGCGGGATGATTGTCATAATATTTTTATATTCATACTTTATAGCTTTTTTATATTTAATGTGGTCTGCCTTAATAATTTTGAAGTTATTATACATTCTTGACTAAACGACTAATCCGTTTTAATTAGCTATGGTATTTAACTTCAAATATATTTGTATGCTTTAGGTGTTTCAGAATTGTTTAATTTATTCGCTTGATACATTTCCATTACTGCGTTTCCTCTTTACTAATGGATCTAGTAGTTTTTGATGAATTTTGGGAATTTTAAATTCGTAGATTCGAACAACGATTTTCTACACGCATGATTCAGCAAACATAAATAGTTTTTGATGTTAGTTGATGTGTTAAAAATTATTAATTGTCGCTAAAGCATAACATAAAAAATTGTTTTATATATTTCTAGCACTCGCATTTTATCAGTAAGTGTGTAGTTATTATTCATAACATTTAAATGTTGAATAGAAATAATTTTTCGGCTTGCACAAACTTGCTATTAATACCCATTTAATTGGAGGAAGCTTTAATTATATATGAATTAGGCGTTTATGATAACACTGAGTTGATGGTTTATTGAAAGTAAAATGCACGATGATCTTTTGGTTTGCATTTTGCTTTTAAAGACTTTGCACTATTGAGCTTTTGTACTTTTTACTCAAATTTGTCATGGCATGATCTTAAATTTTCAATGTATTCTAATGTCATTTTCTAATTTATTATTATCTATGAAACTTGCTTTTAAAATGGTCTTACTTGGGCGGTTGAAGGATTTCTAGTCAAGTTCCAGATAACATTAGCGGCTCTAATAGGTTTTATTCATGCAACTATTAATTTCCTATAATTCAACCTTAAAACGTTTTAACGTAATATTTGCAAAAGTTTTAAATAAAATGATTAATAAAGAAAATTAAAGAAAATCCTTGCCACTGCTTATATAAATATACATTATATTATATAAATATAATATAAATATATTGCTCAAAACATGACTTTTGTAAATTATCTAAACATTCAATTTGCAGGCAGTGTTTAGAGGTTCAACAAAATGAATTTTGTTTGTATGCTATTGTAGATCAATTTATTCAAAACCCTCACTCTAGATTCTTATATACATATTTCTTTAACCATCTAACCCAAACTAACTTTAAATTGCAATTTATAATTTTAAATTTCGGATTCATAGAAATCTCGTCGGTCGATTTGGTTGCAGTTTGCAGTGTTTAGAATTTTCAGCAAAATAATAATCTTTGCAATATATTGTATTTAAAATGTGTATTTTTGTTGTTGATATTGGGGTAGAAACATATTTTCATTCATTAGCTCACATTTAAATTCCTGGAACATATGTATGTGCAGTTAATGCATGGGTTTTACCGGAAAGTAATTTTATTCGGTTGTGATATGCGATTATTATCTAAAATCTGTAAATATAGACTTATGATTTTACAAAAGCTTTTCTACATCAACTTTGCGCATATAAAGCCAAATAAACTACTTTCATAATAAAGCTTGCTTAAACATGATCTAATTAGAGTGGCTTGCTAGATCACCATATTAATTTGAAATATGTGTTTATATTTAGGATTTTTTATTGTGGAACTTCAGACGTAAACTATTAACAAATAGTATTTTCGAGGAACAAGAACCAATACATTGAATGTTCAATTCTGCACATATCAGACGCAAATAAATTTAAGTCAAATTTGGGCAATAAAAAGAGTATTAAGTATTTGGTGTGTCATTATGTTGCTAGTTGTTTTTTTACTATTTAAACATAAACTTGTGATACAAGTGTGAACACAAATAATTCAATTCGATAAATTTAATAAAAATTACAATAAGTGCTTCTTCGATGATAATTTGCATTTGGAGTTCTTAGATTTGCAGCAGTTAAGGTTATTTAAATTCCAAGTGCCGATAATCGTACACGATATTGCGAATGTTCAATGTTTTGGTTCGAGTATTCCACAATTAAACTCAGCACCTTGAAATATTATCAATGTCATCCATTTTTTTTTTAATTAAACACGCTTTTGAGATATTTATTAATTTTAATATGGGAACATTTTCTATTTCGTCCTCTTTGTGTGTAGGTTACTGTCCTGATTTTGGGTGTTGTTTTCTTTAACAACTTTTGTGTTTGACAATATTATCTCACTCGTATTGAATTGAATGCATTGAGCTAGTTTCTTTAAATCCTTTTAAATTAATTAAAGCGTTGCTAAGACAGGATTTTTTCTGTGGCTTATTTGCGCCTGAATGACCACTAATTAGATAAAAATGAAATTTTTCTGTATAGCATTTATGTTAACCCTACGCTATTCAATGGGCTCTGCATGCCACGGACATAAAATATAAATGTTTCTATTTGCCTAAAATTATAGGTGTATTATATTGTAATAACTCAAATAGGTTGAAGGTATTAAATTATAACCACGAACAATTAGCGTAAAATGAACAGAAGAGAGTATTTCAAATCTGAATGAATTTATATTGTATTATACAGCGTAATAAGCTGGATAATTGCGCTGAGAAATAAGTAATTGACTTTGAACAACGACTAAAATCCCATGTATTAAAGCACATATACATAACTTCTATTAAAAAAGGTGGAATAAGCTATAGTAATTAATGTGTTAAATTTACATTAGACACAAGCAATTAAAGTGATGAAGACATGAAAGTGATGTATGAGGTATAACTAAAGCGTATCAGCAATAAATATGGCTTGATAAATAGCAAACCAACTAGAATATAATTTTAAAATTATTTTCTGAGTGTTATGAACTATATTGCACCTTCCAGAAATAATTAGACACTTTGAAAGTGTATTCATGCAGGTAAATCACATATAAGCTATATGGTCATATGACACAATAGAAATATACATAAAAATAATAAATATGTCTGAACTTGACAACTCTGAAAAAACTCAAAAACGAAAAATGTGCCATAATATATCTACAAATAAATTGATGAAAAACTGTTACTGTTAATGACAGTTAAATTTTAGCAGAAAATGATGAATAAAAGTTGAAAACAGAAAAATATATGTAAACGTTATGTTATGCCAAAGCTTCAAATAAATACCCGACTTCGCACTAAACAATTTAAATACATACTTGTAAAAAATAAATTGTAATTCAAAGAATTATACATACATTGATGTGGTATGAATATATTTATAGACTTGATATTGCGAAAAAAGTACTAAAGTTAATTATTTAGCAATTATATCTTAACAGTTGTTTCGCAGAGATAATAAGAATGAATCAAAAGAAAGCAATATTTTATCAAGATGAATTTAAGCGAACGATAAAACAGCACAGTTATATTTGTTGGAATGTGAGGATTAATAAAAAGATGGTTTGCCCCACTGTTCTATGTTAATTGGGCTTAAACTTTTTAGAAAATTGTATGAAACATTACAATTGACTGCCGAAATATTTAACAGCTTTTAACGCGGGTTTTATAAACAGCGCGAAATAATCTGAATATTAATTAATGCATTAAGAAAAGCGCGAGCGCATAAGAGGATATAATAAAAATGAATTTAAGAACAAATTCTAAGGTAAAACTACAAATATAGTCCTTTATAGTAAAAGAAATGCAACTTATGAGAAAAATGATTAAAAAATTGTGTTGAAAAATGTTGAGGTGTGAGCTTAATAGATATTGGGCAATTGCATTTGGAATTGAAAAGGTTTATTAGACGACGAAAATGTATAGTGAATCTAAAAAAAGCGATTTAAGGTTTTAACTTTTTAATAGGTTGTTATACAGGTTTAAAAATTAAGAAAAGGTGTAGATTTGAGAGAAACATCCATGATTCAGAAATAAGATTTTCCTGGTTAAGTTCACATCTTAGGTAGTAAACCCAATTATTTACGCTGACAGAGCTCGGCACATCCGAGATTCAAAACAATTTGTTCCGAAAAATATTTATTTAATTTATTAAAATTATCATTAATCAAACATGTACGATCAGAAGTGCTGATAATATATTTAAATGGAAATTAATGTAAGTAAATCGGAGAGCAAGGATGAATCTGTATCTGTAAAATACACCCTTCCTAAAAATGTCGATATTAATAAGAGTTACTTGCAAGGACTGATGTAATCAATTCATCTGCGAATTAGTAAAAATGGCAATGCAATTACTTAAAAGACAAATTGTATTATCATATTGGTCAATATATTGGACCTTTGGGGAGGCTCTAGAAAAGCCAATGCGAGCGTATAAGTTACAAAATTCCCGGAATGAAGACAAGTGCGGGAAAGAAAATAAATATACTTGAAAACATTATTTGGTATGCCAAATTCCGAATTTTATTAAGGATATGAATTATCCCGAAAAATATCTGAACTCCTTGAAATAAATGAATGAAATACACATTTAAACGATTTGGTTGTTGAGGTCAATGGAATTAGAAATGATTTTTTACACAATACTTTGCGATTATATTAATCGCTATTTTTAATGATTAATGCCGAATAAAGATTTTCGATTGAACGTTATGGCAGCAGCTACAAGGTGACATTACGAACAATTTTAGTAGTTCTAATTATATATTTGCTTCAATTGCTTTTGCTTTTGAATATCTCCAAACGGCAAGAAGAATATTTTGAAAAGTTTTGAAAAGAAATCCGTCTTCAATTGAAATATAAGTTAATACCGCTGAAAGAAACTATCAACACTGAAACAATTAAATATTATATACAGCAAATGCTTGGTCAATTAATTTACCTTGAGTGATTTTACTTAGAATAGCAAGATAATTGCGGCTGAACTTATGGGTTAAAATGGTCAAATATCAAGAATCCTGCAGATATTCAATCGGAAATGCCAATATATGCTAAGATTAGTCTTAGAAAAGAAATGGTAATATTTTAATACAAGTGGCTTACATTTTTTATGCCAAAAATGAACATACAGCTAATATGTCATGCAATCTATTTGTGAAAAAACATGCAAAATGGTATCAAGTCCACGTTTCCAGAACTTAAACATATTTATCTAATATTGCAAATCAAACCCTGCAACATTTTATTTATGATGTGGTTTTATGACTAATTTTTCAAACGAAGAGTTACCTACTACGGCACAATTTTTAAAACTTAAATGTAATTAAATTATATGCATTCAGTCTTTTCAACTGAGTATAGACTTATCACTTACCATCCATTGTTTCCGAAAAGGGAATTTCTCAATTTTCTAGTACTAAATGTTTCACACAACACTTTTTCACAGTTTACTAGAACTTTATTCGCAATTGAAATACCAAATTTTAAAATGAATTTTATAGTTTGAAACAGCAATAGGCTAATAACCCGGAACACCTTCTTTTCGCCGCTTTTCAGAATCGCCTGGCCCTTAAAAAATTATATGCGCACCAGAAGGTTTTACTCAAGATGTGTACTTAATAAATATTTCGTGCCTGAACAATTGGATACAAATATGCCCGTGTTTATAGATATTATAAACAGTTTGGAACAAAGAACATTCAGAATTCGCACAACGTTGCCGCATATTTTTTACTTAAACAATAACATTGTAGAAATTATGGTTGACAACTTCGGCAAAAGAATATATATAATAGTTCACATAATTTCGCATATTTAGAAAAACAAACATGTGTGAAGAATTTGAATCTTACATTTGCAACGCTTTTGCTGGTTAAACGAACTTAAAGTTCAAATTAACGAACTAAATCAAATTTAATTAGATTGCAAATTTGTTAAAGGTCTAGTGAAATATTTAATATTGTCGAGTAAAATCACTGTAATAGTAAATAGAATCGTGTCAAGCAACTGGGTAAAAATGTTTGAAAGTAATAAACATTGACAAAATCAGGAAATAAGAACGTGAAAGACAAGAACAAACGAGTTAGTAATGTAGGGTCCCAATTAAGGTAATTTGCACGGTTGATCGAGAGGAATGTGGTAAAAACTAGACAAAATAATCTACGTCTTCGACTTACAAGTACTTAGCGGTCAACTGTAAAGTGAGTAAACGCAAAAACGCATTTACAAAGTTGTACCATAAAAAAACTAAACAAGAAACACTGAAACTGGAAAGTTCTAAAAAATGGTTGGGTTCGTTCAGAATTCTTTTACAGCTAAGAATTGGTATCTCAGAATGAATTGCTCAAAGTTACAAAGTAGTGGTTGTTTATATGACAACAAACAAATCTCATTTTATCTCACTAAAGTGGTTGTATTAAAGCGGGGTTAAATTCTAAAGTGGTGGGTAAAATGTTATTAACTTAAAATCTTTACTGCGGTTATTAAGCAATAAAATAAGTATCTTAATAATTAAAGAATAAAGCACCGAAAACGGAAATATATGAAAATAATATGTAAACTAGTAAACAAATAAACCTTAAAAAAGACTACTTACAATTAAAAATCACAGATTTGCAAACGCTGAACCAAATTTATTTACATTAAGCGCAGTAATTTGGTTAAAAGGATACAAAGGTAAAAAGCTGTACAATAAAAGAAGCTTTTCTTGTTTTGAAAAGAAATATCATTGAATTATCCATCATAGTAATTTAGTTAATTAAAAGTTTTTTCATAATAATTTAGTTGTTAAACCATCGAAATGTTTTAATAACAAAATTAAATGACAAATACAAATAAAATAACAACTGCAGAATAAAACATGGGTGTGCAGAAGTTGAAGAATCAGTAGTGGTGCGAGGAAAAACATAAAATAAATCGGTAGAACAATCACTGAAAAGGTGATTTGGTCAAAAGTGTCCAAAAATAAACACAGTTTTATAGGTGCTTTTAAACAAATGTAAAGTGATAAAAGGGCATGCAAGAAGATTACCTTGAGGCGAATTGTAATTACAAAGTATAAAACGTATGATCAAAAGGAAAATAAACTCATGAAATATGATTTGGTCAAAAGAATACAAAAAACGGGTCTGTAGGAAACAATGGTTAGGTATCTTGAAAATACAAATATTATAGAAACGGAAAAGAATAAGAGGAAATAAAAAAAGTTGGGTAAATAATGTACAGTTTTAAAAAAGTTTACTTATATACGGATTTCTAGCTGTTCGTCAATAGTGAAGCCAAATTATAAAATGTGTAAAACAGGAAATACAAAGACTGTTTGTCTAAAAATATGCAAAAATATAGACGGTTTAGTAGGAGATAGTGGTTTTTTTGAACAGAAATGTGGTTAAATAAAAAAGCGAACGTGAATAAACTAATAATGGTTGCAAAAAAGTAAAGTGATAAAGAACGTCTACTTAACTAGGGGTTTGCAGATGTATATCGATTACCTTGAAGCGAATTGTAATGAGAAAGTGTAAAACTCAAACTAAAAAGGGAAAACAAGCACTGAAAATATGATTTGATCAAAATAATAACAAAATTATAACGGTTTTATAGGGAACAGTAGTTATCTTCAAAAGAAATATAATTAGAAAGGAGTTAGGAAAATAATTAAAATGTAATTATTAGTAAATGCACTTTCAAAGTGGTTGATTAAAAATGTAACCAAGAAGAGTAATAACAGGGTTTTCCAGTAATGAAATTGTTGAAGCGAAGTGCCATTTACAAAGTGATTAACTGATCTGATTAAGTAATCTGAAATATTATTACATAATTCTGCGGAAAGAGAAAATTAGTAAAAAAAGTATATTTAAATAAATACACGTTTAGGGAGAGAAAACGGTTATCTATTCACGAATCAGAATACCAAGTGGTTAACAATTACAGGAGATTTATGGGAAAAATTAAAATGAAAAGGTAAAACAACAAATTAATTTGGTTGAGAGAGTTGATAGCAAAGTATATGCGCTTTATACTTTTTAAGGTTATTTTGAAGATGGATAACAACTAAAGTTAAATTATATAAAAACATTTGTGATGCGAAATTAGTAAAGAAGTTATACTTAAATATGTAAGGGTTAGTAGACGTAGAATGCACATATTAACGTTAAATTAAATTAATGTGGTCGCGTAAACAATTTAAAGTTAACGTATAGACTAGTGCTTCTGAAGGATGAAAACAATCTACTGAAATCAATAACGACTTTCAGCAATAAAAGGGTTTTTTGAAGTCTATTAGAACTACGAAGTAATTGGGAAAATCGGAAAAAATCTTAAAAAATTTATATCGATTTCACAGAAATAAAATGGTTATATTGAACTAGCAAAGTGGTTGCGCATCTTAAAACGAGTAAAATGAAACGAACGCTCCACACTCAATTTGGCCAAAAGTGTACAAAAATAAAAACGGCTTTACGATTACACAAAAACTAATTACAAAGTAAGAAATTAAAACATTAAAAATTAAGGAAATGATGAAAAGACAAAATAGCAAAAAATATTTACGTAAATCTATAACGGTAGGCAATAATAAAATGGTTACCTTGATGTTAAATACAGTTATAAAATGCTTAGCTAAGAAATTAAAATAAAATAAAATGGATATCGACAAGTAGTCGTATATTAAAATTAAACAATCCACACCTTGAGAAAAATGGGAATGCGAAGTAGCGTATCCAAAAAAATCAACTGAAAATGTAGAATGATTCCATTAAAACGAAATATACTTACAAACTGGTTAGGTGGAAAATTAAAGCGAACGGCAACGGTTACATAAACCTTGAAAATAAATGTGGTTAAATAAAACGGCCAAAGGATAATTTAGCTTAAATAAGGTAACAGATGCGGAAGAAAATGTAAAGTGGTAAAGAAGGTGTACTAGGTAAATACAGAGTTGTAGATTTAAATTATTAAGTGCTATTGAAGATTGGTTTGTTGATTAAATTAAACATAACACACTGTCTGTGGTCAAAAGTACGGCAAAATATGAACGGTTTATCGGAGCAAAACTTCCCGTGAAAAAAAATCTGCTTAAATAAAAAGTGAACTTATTGTCGAATGATCAATGGAAAGGTAAAAAGAAAAAGTTGTTAAAGAAGGTGGAATTAAATACGGCCTCTCGTAAGCGTTAAATGGTTACGTTAAACCGAAACGCACTTTCAAAGTAATTGAGTAAAAGACGAAACTGAGAAAAATAACAAACCCTGAAAATACAATTTGATGAAAGGATAAAAATGATTTAGCTTCTAAATGGCTACGTTAAACAGAGTATTTACTAGAAAGAGCGTAGGTAAACAATTCGAAATTAAATTTTGTAACGGATGATGTGGTAAATAGATTACAGAACGTTTGGGTAACTACGACGATTTTACAGGAATAAAATGGTAATATTTTTTCAAACTATAAGAGAAACGCGGAGAACGTAAATTGAAGCGGAAATAAAATGGTTATCTAGAGGTAAAATACCATCACCAACTTGAAACGAAATACTCTGACAAATGGTTGGAAGAAAAACTTGTTATGTAGTTTTATCATAATTACTTTGAAACGAAATATAATTACGAACTATGTATAACTAAAAAGGTAAAATATACACTGTATATATACTGTGATATAAGTATATGAAAATAAAAACGGTTTTGTAGCTTACAAATTGATTATGACAATTATATTCGAAATAAATTTGACTGGAAAGCGGTTGGGTAACAGTTTCGAGGTAAATTAACGAATGCTGAGATTCTATGCTGGTAATGATCTATGTTTAAATAGTGAAAAGGTTTGCAGGAACAAAACGAATATATGACAGCAAAGTGGTTGGGTGACGAAATAAAAAAATTATGAGAAAGCAAAGTAAGGAAATAGCGGCTGCAGAAATAAAAATGGTTTACGGCAAACGCAAAGTAGTTCGAGAAAAGATCTAAACTTAAACTGAGTGATGCAATTAGAAAGTGGTGCGGAGTAAAATGAAAAAGTAAAGCAAGCACTAAAACTAGTTTTTTAAAATATACAACAATAAAAACGGTTTTGAAACAAACAAGGGTTATTCTCATAAGAGCCTTAAGTTAAAAATGGTTGGGTAAACGAGATATATTTAATTTACGTTGTTAACGAATGTTGAAGGTAAACTGGTAATGAAGGGATGTTTAAATGCTAAGCGGTAGCAGACGTAATATGGTTATATTCAAGAGAAGTCAAATTTCGGAGTGTTTGGTTGAAAAATAGAGACTAAAAAATTAATGCAGACACCAATGCCAACACGAAATTAGTAATAAGTAGGCAGAAACGAAACGTGGTTTTGTAGCCACGTTGAAAAAAATGTGCGGAAATAAAGTAGGTAAATGACAAAACGTTATTGGAAATAAATTAACAAACACCGAGGAAATGGTAAAGCGGTAGTGAAGTAGTACCTTGAACCGAAATGCAATTACAAAGTGGTTCGCTGAAAAACTTAACTAAGCAGGTAAAACAAAGACTGACATGATAAATTGGTCAAAAGTATCCATAAATGAACGGTTTTATCGCAAATATTGAGTAGCTTGAAAATAAATATGGTTCAACAACAAGTTGTTGAGTAAAAAATAAACTGAAGATAATCTAAAAATGGTAAAAAGGTGTAAAAAAGTGATGAAGAGGGTTTAATTAAATAGTGGCTTTTAGCTGTAAAATGGTTTTCTTGAAGCGAAATTTTATATTCGATTGGTTCGGCGATAAACTAAACGAAAACAGACAAACAAACTTGGCAAATATAATTTGGTGGAAAGTGTATAAGAACAGAATCAGTCTTACAGCATACGATAACAGCACGTGATAACTTGAAAAGAAATCTAATTAGGACGATGTTGCATATAAAACTGAAACTTGAATTACATAAAAAATTGCGGAAAGCTAATTTGGTAAAGATGATCTACTTAAATAATATGCGTTTGTAGGAATGATATGGAAATCTTAAAGAGAAATTGTTTACTCATCATAAAATGAGTTTGCACCGATGAAATAGTTACTCCGATAAAATATGCAATTGCAAAGTGGTTGAAAAAACATAATACTGAAATAATATTACAATGCCAAAAGGGCGGTAAACTCATGATCAAAAAGGTCCACTTAAATAAACACTGGTATGCTGAGATAAAATATTTTCCTTGAAAGCGAAGTCATACACTATTGTTAGCGGAAAATAGTAAAAATAGGAAATATATACGGCAATAGCGTGATTAATTCCAAACAAAATGTGGGTAAATAGCGGTTGCGTGCATATTTCAACTAAATACCTTAAAAACACTACAATGAGATTTGCTTAAAGGTATACAAAAAAGTAACGGCTTTTTGGTAGACAATTGTAATATTGAAAAGGATTATATACAAATATAATTGTAAAGTAATTGGGTAAACCTTTGAAGGCAAATGCAACGAAATAAAGGTTGGGTCAAGAAGTTGAACTTGTGTGAAGTGATATAATAATGAAAGCTAATATATAAATAATTAGCCTATCTACTTATCTGCGGTTTAAATTAATAATTTCGTTACCCTGAAACCTGACATTACAAAATGGTTCGGTAAATAAATTACAATCAAATTGTAAAACAAACAATAAAAAGGTAATTCGGTGAAACGCAGACAAAAAATGCAAAGCTTTTAATAGCAAACACTGCATATCTCGGGAAGAAAAGTAATTTGAAATAGGTTCGGTTATCATTTAAAGTTAAATTATATTTATCTTGAAAGGTCCATCGGTCAAGACCACTAGTAAATAAAAATACAGAAATGAAATGGTTACCTTGAGGCAAAATTCGATTGTTATGTGCTCGACTGAGAGTTTAAAGTTTAGTTACATTTAATACGGTTTTACTGAAAGAATATGCTTAAAAAGTTTTAAAACAAGTATCTATTGCAGATCGGTTAGGAGAAAAATATAAACACCTAAAGTGTAAGACGGTTTTGCAGCAAAAACACGGTTACTTTGAAATAAAATAAAATAACCAAGTGGTCAGTCGAAGAAACTTAACTAAAAGAGTAAAACAAACCTTGCGAACGTAATGCAGTTAAAAGTATAGAAAACTGAAAATGGTGGCGAAGCAGACAAAGTGGTAGGGTGAGGAATTTAAAGGTGCATTGTTTAAGAAATGCCGAACGGAAGAAATAGTGAAAAAGTCCATTTATATAAAATAAAACTAATAGATAATAAAAATGATAATTTGGTCAAAATTAAAAAAGAAATGTTTTGGTGGGAACAATATTTGCCTCGAAAAAAATAATATTACAAATCGTGGGCATAAAAAATTGGAAAAAATGGTTTACTGAAAGAAATTTTATCGATTTTACGATTTATAGAAACTACGTTGTTTGTTTTTAGTTTGCTACAAATAAGTTTGCAGCAACTTATAAGAATAGATCGGTTATCGGTTTTATAGTAAGTAATATATGTGTTGAAATCAATTTTATAAAAAACATACAGAAATAAAAACGGATTTGTAACAAAACACTAGGGTAACTTAAAAATTGATGAAGTTGAAAAAATATCGAACAGGAATTGTTAATTTATATAATCTAATAAATATAGAAGAGAAGGTAAAGTGGTAAACACGTGTTACTCCAAGACGAGCTTAGATGTAAAATTATGATGTTCGAGAGCATTGACAAAAAAGTGATTTAAACACTAAAAAGGTTGTCGTTACATAGCAGGTATCGGCTGATATAAATAAATAAACTTTTTATAGCAGTAGTTGGATAGTTGCGCTTCGTAATGTATAAAATACTAAATACTTATAATCAGCTCTCAATCTTTCTCTACTAATTTCACAGGTTTATGTTATTTGCAGATGCTCAGATACAAAATAGAAGAAGTGATAACGAACAAAACCGTTTTTCTTGAAAGCTACGCACCGATTTAACAAGATTTTAAGTTGGTTATAAACAACAACCAAGTGCTAAAGGCTGAAAATAATAACACATTTAAAGAAAAAACTCTGTTAAATGGAACATTTGCAGTGATATAAAATCATTTCAAAATTAATAAAGTTTAGATTAAGTAAAGTAAAGGTTAGCGCAAAATTTTAGTATAACGTGAAATGGGACCAACGTCTAAATTGGTAAACCTGGAGTGCCTTTGGTAAACATGAAGCAATAATTTCGCATACCCGATTTGCACATCTATCTAAGAATAAGAAAAAATAATTTCTGTGTTTTTTGGAGCTTTAGAGATTAACAGATGCCTTAATAAGAACAATTAGATTTAAATGAATGGAACAGTCCCATAAATGAGCTCGATGAATAAAATGCCGAAATGTGAGAAGAGGTACTTGGACGACTCACTAAATAAACAGAACGAGTGATAAAGGCATAGGAAACGTTATTAATTTGGAGATTTTACGAGTTACGAGTTTACCCAGAAGATACGGTCTATTAAGCCCGCTCCACATACGCGTCGCGAAAACGTGTGAATGTAAGGTTCCGCGTTCCTATTTTGCGTCGTGCAAGATGATTTGATTTGCATTTGATGATCAATTGTGCAAGATATACGAGAAACAAACACCGTGGAAAAAAGCACAGTTTGCGTGGAAGGCAAAGCAAATATCAAAACATAAGCTTTAGGATGGTATAATTTTAACCGGTAACTTATCACATAAGTTCAGCTTTATAAAACCAGCATTTTTTGGTAGTGGTATGAAAAGTGTATTTTCTTGTTGGGTTAGTGTCATGCGTATTTAAAGAAAACTGTTAGGGTAAAAAAATTATATTGTAGACAAGAAGAAAAATGTTAGAAAGGTATGTGGCACTGTGGTGGAAGTTTGTAGAAAAAGAATTCATCGTATAAAATGGAGAACTAGACGTACAACAGTGAGAAACAGTAGTGTGAACCTTACAATGAAAGGTAGAAAGGCGGATAATAATTTTTGGTATGCTCGTACAAGGTGATAAAGGATGGTAATTTTGAAAAGTCAACTTTTAAAATGTATGAACTGGAAGTGTAGGTTTGAGTGCGCTAATACAGGTCAAAATAAATTTGGATCTACATACGTAAATATGGTGAAAGAAGAATATGAATATCGTGGGTAAAATAGCGGTTAGCCTAAAGTGTTGTAGTTTATTTTTCAATATAAATGTGCCTGGAAGTTAATTGTAATGCAAAACGAATGCTAATAAAGCTGCATAATTGTGAGGAGCGCACTTACCAACATAGGGTAAAAAATCTTGTGAAATGTGTTATGTTATCGAAGGAAAAGTAAACAAGTGGTTGAAAAGTTTAGAAAGTGAACAAAACATTAAAAATAATTGCAATAAGTATGTGAGATAGAAGAACGTAGTAATATGAGTTGAAAACGTTAGGTGTTCATCCAGGAAATGAGTTGAAATGAGTCTGGTTATGTTTCGACGTGGAATAAAAATTAAGGTATAGAAGAAGAGAAGTGAGTGAGCGTATATTGAACATACACCAACGTAATATTACCGTGTAATTAAATAATTACGTTACGTTCGGATTGTTAGCTTGAAATAATTCACTGCTAAGAGGGGCAAAAACTGCGAAGAATAAATATTGGTTCGACATATCAAAAATTCAAATCTTTTAACCAGGAACTTGAATTATGCAATAGGAGGTGAATAAGTAAAAAATGTAATACTCTTGGTATAGGTAAATTGTAAAAACTTCCCGTTGCTTATGAATACAAAAATATTCCTTGAAGAGCTGCGCCGATTTGTGTATAAATAAAGTAAAAGTAAGGAAAAGTAATAAATAAAAATGTGATGTGAAATATAACGCTAATCTAATAATACGGACTTTAAATACATACAACCAAAAATTCACCAAATTAATAATGCAGTTGACCGAAAACACAAACAATAAAAGCGACGTGAACTAAATTACAGTGGAGGATGGTGGACCAACGCGCATAGAAAATTACAAACAATTACAAGATATACTATTTTATTGTTACTATACGTATAATTACGAATTTGACTTTTTACAATAATGATTCGTGTAAGTTCCAACAAGTTTACAAATCAAATCAAAACGAGTGTCTAAAATATTGTATAAACCTGTTATAATTTCATATGAAAATTTCAGTTAATCTGCGGAATCATTACTTCTTATGAAAACGGTGTATAACAAAATATTTAATGTCTTCGAAACAGTTTCAGAGGAGGGTGGTGGGCCAACACGCGAAAAAATCAAAGTGATTGAAATCAGTCATTTTTTATTCTATATTTTATTTAAATAAATTAAGTGGTAGAAGGTCAATTGTTCCTCACAAAAATGTTGATATTTCAGGTTGGTTTCGTTCGATTAAATTTGGTTTCGTTGAAAACCGTTTGATTTCTTTGCATTGCGAATTAATTTAGTAGTCATTTTGGCGTTGTCGGTGGTTGCAAGAGGTTCTTTACAGCAAAATATACAGCATAAATTTAGGCAACGTCGTCCAACCTTAAATAGAACTAACATAGTATTAAGAAATATTATCATTAGACTATCAAAAAGAGGAGAAAAAATTATTTTTGTATTTTTTTCAATTTAATAGATCGCCAATTGATCGTAAAGCATATAAGGAAATGAATGGTTTCTTGCTTTCAGACTGTTCATTCGGATTTTGAAACCAATTTAATATGGTTAATTAACAAAATTTTTATAAGGCATTTCGAAAAAGCCCGCAGTTTTTAACTGTACCTACCTGCTTGCTAATTGCATAATGTGGTAAATATTTGGAATTTGCATTGATTTAGCTGTTTATAATCAGTTTACATGCTCTTTCTAGCTGTTTAGGTAAAACTAGGTGTGCCATTTAATTTAAAACTTGCAGTAAATTAACTGAGTTTTTTAGATGAAAGTTAGATCTATAGCATCTTATCCATTACGCTGAAGAACAACGATATTTCTTATTCCGTACTAGTTTCCTTATCCATGTAGATAGGAAATATTAACCCATCGTACACTACGTCAAATTACTCGGCATTCATAAAAAAAGTGAAAAATCAAGGAGAATAATTCAAAAGCAAAAGCAGTAATTGGAAAATATTTTTCAATTTATTACTTGCATATCTCTCATTCGCAGATTTTATGGTCCTTTACTGCATTTTACGCATTTTCTTTCCTTATATGTTTTGCTGTCAAATTGTGGGATTAGTAGTTACTGATAATAAACCTATAACATTTTCTATGTTCTCACCGGGCACTCGTTAAATATCCGAATATGAATTGCAAAATAACATCAATTATATAAAAGAGTGAAACAAACATAATGGACTCAAGTCTCCGCGAATTGAGGTATAATTAAAGTGATATGAACGACTAAAGGACAAACAGTATTCATTGTAAAGTTAGTCTATTAGTTAAATGGTCTTCAAATAAATTATAATTATTTGATACAAGTATGAACGTTTTGGTTATATAACTTAATTTGATTAATCGTCGTCGACTTTTATATGACTGAGAAAATCCAATAGATGTTTTGTAGGTTCTGTAGGTTGGGATGAATTTTCTGGATTTACAAGTAATCAATGCCTTGGGCGAACAGCACTTGATAGCGAATGCGAGACATTTATGATATGCTTTTTCATATTTTGACCAGAAGAATGCTAATATAATGTTCAAATAAGATTCATCAAGAATTTACCGACAGAATTTGATTGGAAAGTTTTCTAGACTGCAGATAGAAAACTGCGACTGAACAACATTTTGTGTTTTGTATCACCAGAGAAGATTTTGACTTAACAGTGGAGCGTCCGAATTTCCACTTCATAACTAATATTAAGTAGTTCCAACTACTTTAACAATCCCTGTATCTTGACAAGTATTCAATATTTCATTATAACATCTAATATAACAAGACTTCGAAGAAGCGCGAGCTAAGGAATGCGTTTCCTTTCAAAATAATGCTCCATTTTCTCAATATCCACAAACTACAACCAGTATCTTTAAGGTATAAATAAGTTTAGTATTCTTAGAAATATCCGAAATTTACGCTCCGAAAAATATCGCTACTAATTTTATAGTTAATAGTGGAGTTTTTATGAACGGTTATATGATTAATTGAACTATGAATAATAGAGTAAAATTTGTACAAAATTCGGCTCACACCGTAAGTACGGTTCGGCATGGATGTTGCGATTTTATCACATAATGACGCATATGATAAGAAATGGAATTTTTAGTTTTATACTGTAAAACAGAGCAATAATTATATTTTATACAAGGTAGGCACAAAGTTATTGTGCATATTTCAAAAGGTTTTCTAAAAATTGAAAAATGGTCGGTAGTCTTAAAAATGAAATAAATACAAATTGAAGCGGTGTATTTCGGTAAATAGGAGGACTAAAATATTGCAAACCCTGAGCGTTTAAAAACCAACCTCCCCCGCTCCGGTAGCTCAATGGCAGAGCAATGAGCAGCAATGTTCAGAGATCCAGGTTCAATTCCTGGCTGGGGCTAAACAAATTGGTTCTTAAACGTATTACTTTTATTTAATGTTTTTTTACAAACTTCACAGCTTCCTTCATTTCAAAGGATGGGAGCAGAAAGTCCTCTAGGTTCATTAGACACTTCACTGCTTCAATTTAGTTAATTTCAAATGATCAACACAAGTTGGTTGAAGTAGATTCTTCGCGTCCTTTAAAAGCTTGTCAGCTTCAATTAAGAGCATTCCAAATGATGCCAACGTTGATAGAAGTAAAAGTCCTTTATAATCTTTAAATGCTTCACAGCTTCAATTTCGATCTGGGCAAAAATTGCTTGGAGGAAAACAAGTCCATATTGGCAGTGTCCCAAAATTTAGATTAAAAAATAGTTTCTAGTTGTTTATTTTCAGTATTATCACCTCTTTCTTATGTGATGCTTAACATTATATTATAATATAATTTAAAGTTAAAAAAAGCACAACATAATTAACAATTATATATTACTGCTTATACTGTAAATAATTCAGAACAAAAGAATGTAATCGATAACATAAAAGCCATGAAGGTATATGTGGGAATGAAGCCATTACATTTGGATGCGGCATTCTCGATTTCATTAATTGGCAAACTGCTCCAAAAAGAGTTGGGTCCCAATTCGGTAACACTTTTCATTATTATATTTTCAGGGCCATTTATTTGCAAAAGATTGATATTGGAATCTTCCGGTTTTACCGGTAGCCATTCCACTTTGTTCATAGAGGGAACACTATAACAAAGAAAACACTAAAATTAAATCAATTGGACAGGAAAATGAAACAAAAGATGAAGAACACAAAAACAGAAATACGCACCCACTCTTAGCAAAACCGACCAAAAAATCAATAAAAAAGTTCATCATCTCTTCATCCTTCTTTTTGGGTACTGAAGGGGTCATGAACATTTTAAACAGCAGTCTTGCATCATCTCCATGCGCTGCCCCTAAAATTAAATCAAACTAATGACGCTGGAAACATACGTTTTCAAATTTTTTAAAATAAATGTTTTAAAATACAAACCCTTAGGCATTCCGGGAGGAAAATGCGGCATTTCCAGATTATATGCGAAAATATAATAATAAATATCAGATTTTGCTGCATGTGCCTGCATCCGTATAGCTTTTTCTGTGTCTATCGAAAACATTCTGTCTGTAACGAGCTGAAATAATAATGACATATAAAAATATTGTACCTACCATTACTCAACCTACAATTTATTTTTAAACATATTAAAACACGTAAAGTTGTTAATTATTGCAAAAATCATATCATAGCGCCCTTCTAAAACTATATATTATTATAGTATATTACAATTATTATAGTACATGTATACTACAATTATAATGACTTTTAATACAAAATATTGACAAAAAACTGTCGAAGTAGCAGGAGTCCATGATTCACCACCTCATTGGCTTTAGCTAAGATTATGGCCATATTCTTTTCAAACATTTAAAATTGATTCAATATGTCGACCTGCATGTGGATCGAGGATCTCAGTGGGAAGATGATTTTCCAGTCATAGTTACAAAATAGGTATATTCTAGTGGCAAATATACACTTACATTTACGAAAGATTCCATGTTGTCGGCGGAAATAGGATCATTTTTAAAATAATATTTTTTTATTCTTCTCAATACATCTTTCTGTAAGTGTGGTTCCACAGTATATTGTAGTTCTAAACCATACTGCATAATATCGTACCATTTGTCTTCTATTTCTTCATATGTTTTAGAAGCTGCTATAACTTTTATAAAAAAAAAGACAAAATGTACACAATTCACTGAAAACAGACGCAGACTCATTGTAGAATTGAAAACAGTAATGTTCAAGCCTTTGTGTTATGGCAAATATCTCTAAATATCTATACTTACATCCTACTGGAAACAAGCCTTCGTCTTTGGTGTTGGACGAAATCCAGGGCACGTCATACACGTTTCCTTCCTGCAACAACTTGTAAGGGTGCTGACTGAGAAAAGCATTCGTCGAAATATTCTCTATAACAGGTCCAAATGGTGCAATAGGCACTATATCTTGGTAAACGAAAAGAGTTCGTATTCCATTTATCAGTTTACGAGCATCGCTAGATCGAAGGCATTCTACCATTTTTTCAGTGGACAACGTAGGACAACTTATGTTTTTCGCCACTGCTCGAGCTTTTTCCAACGGGTTTTCTGCCAGAGCCCAACATAATAACGCTGTGCCACTTTGGGAAAATCCTCTATGAAATAAACCTAAAGAAGACAAATAAAATATCAAAGTTTTATATTAAAAGGGACACTGAGTATTATATAACTGGTGTTCCCTAAAATCTAAAATAAAGTTAGAAAGTTACTGAGTATTCCAAAAACTGAATAAAAGAATGTAAAGATTTTTCTTCGAACTGGGCCTAAAGTGTTTTGCCGAATGTTTCTTCAATCACTCACCTTTGGATAACGGTGAAAAATAATGAAAATGCACACTTGCGGCACCCGCTGAAAGTCCAGTCAATGTGATAGAGGCAGGATTACCTCCGAAATATTTAATATTAGAACTAATCCAATCTAGAGCTAAGCTCTGATCTTTGAGTCCATTATTTCCGGGCACTACGTCATCCTCGGTACTTAAAAATCCTTAAAAGTAATGTGAATGATAATGTTAGGTTTTGGATTTGCTTCGATTAATGGAGGTGCTATTTAAGAGGCACAAAAAGTAATTTACCTAAAATTCCCAAACGGTAATTAAACGAAACAACAACAACATCACGGTCCATTAAAAATTCGGGACCTGCCATATATTTTGGAGCGCCTAGCATAAAAGCACCTCCATGAATGTGTACGATAACATCCAATAATGCGTTAGGATCTACTTTATCTCCTGGGACATACACGTAAACATAGAGGCAATCCTCAGTTCCTAAAAATAGTCCAAGTAATCTTCCAGATACGTTTAAATTGGTGTAATATTGAGCAAATTTCTAGCAAAGAAAACCAGAGTTATTGGACTTATTTATACAATGAACAATAATCAAACAACTATTGTTGATCTACTTACAGTTACTGAAAACTAATTTTTGGGTAATGAGACAATTTATGTATTATATTAAAAAAGCAGCTCAAAATCTAAAAAAGACAATAGACAGTTACTCAGAAATGAGTTTCAAAAAGTATTCAAATTCTAGAGGATTCAAAGTAACAACAATATAAGAGAAAACACTTGAAGGTGATGTGGTGGTATTTAATGAAGGCTTGCTGAAAGCTGAGTTAAATTCTAATTTGATTTTTAATCCTCAAATAATCTCCTTCATCGTATTTAAGGATGGGATGTTGAAAGTTAAATAATATGTATATTGCTAGTATTTTTTAATAAAATTTAATATTATTTATTATTACCTCTAATTCCTCGAACAAATGCAAATGGCATATAATGTAAGCATTCATAATGGTTGGTGGCATTTAATATGCCACTCCAATTAGATGCAGGGATTGACTCCTAAAAATATATCTGCAATTTATTGCAAAAACACGGTAATTTAAGCACTGAAAGCTTGAATAAAATGGTCTGTCCTCTATCTCATAACTGTAAAAAGATGTAGTGTTTTATTTTAAAACATTGCTACGAATTTAGTCTGTGAAGACTTTTCTAATCTTATTTGTAATACAAAGAAGATGAAGCGAGCATATTCGAGTTAGTTAATGACAGTAAGTAAGATGAGCAGTAGAATGTGAAAACTGAACGATTCTTGCAGTCTGGTAAAAGTATAACGTATCTAACTATTTAAGAAATGCTTACGGTTGATAATTCTACTAAAACATAAGTACATAATTGATTAAATTATTTGTCGGTGCTTTGAGACTTCCTGTATTCACTTATGATTAATTAAATAAACTTATAAACAAATAAAAAAGTAATAAAACAAAAATTAAATATTTAATAATATTGGTAACAGTACTAATAAGTAAAGATTTGATTGAGTTCCAATGTTTTCTGTAGTATTTGCAGTCAGCGTGAATTTTCCATTATTTATATTTAATAAAAAATATAAACAACCGTAGATATGTATGAGAATAACCCACTTCACATTTTAAATGGGTGTTGAAACTAAATAATCACGACGCAACATTTCAGCTTACCCTGAAACGTAAGTCTTCAACTGGTGGTTTTGCGTAGGGAATTCCTTCAAAAGCTGAAAACGTTCTATTCCTATACGACTTCTTGTAACTACCTTGAACTTTCCCTTGAGGTAATTCCACAATGGGTCCGTTCGGAATTGTTTCTAATGTCTGAATTCCTAATTAATATATAAATAATAAACGCAGTTTGGATAAATATAATGAACTTACCATGAAATATTAAAACAATCAAAAGAACACTTAAAGATGGCGAATTCATATTTCTAGCAAAAACAGCTTGAAATACTCAATACAATATGAACTGATTTTCCAAAAGCAAATATAGTGTTTCTCGTAATTTCACTGATTCCGGTTCTAAAAGTTAGTTCCAATGGCGTATCTTGGCAGAATTAGCGATTTTTTTAAATCCACCTGATTAAAACAAGTTGATTATTAAATTAAATAAAATGCATATTTTATTCAGCACCCTTAATAGTTTGCTTAATTCGCCTAAGCACTTAAGATAACAAAGTAGCAAAAAAAACTTAGATCTGAATCAACTCATCCTAGCAGCAAGTTGTAAGAATTTATATATGGATTGAGCTATAAAAACGCCACAATATCCAAGCTAGCAAATAAGTTTTTAGAAACTTTTGATGATGTTATTTTAGGTCGCATAGAGCAGGCTATTGTAGAAATAGTATAAAATATTATTTATAATTCAAAAGGTAAAAAGGGTATTTAGTTTCAGTGATTTGGAAAGAACTAATTGGAAAATACAATCGATATGTTGAAATTGAAATATATTTGATTTTAGGGCCCGAAAAGTGCAATAGATTATGCAAGTATTTTGTAGCACTTTAGCACAAAGCCTTTAAACACAGATTCTTTGTCCCTAGTGAAGAGGATTGTATTTACTTGGATTTTACTTACTTTTTTGGTTTTAACAGGAAAGCTAATAAAGCTTGTTACTTCCAAACTTTATTTTTGACAGTAACAAAATCGTTGCTATGTGTGGAGGTAAAGAAATGACAGTAAGTAATAAAAATATTAATTTATTTCTCCTATTATTTTGTATTATTTACCATTTAAAAAAATCTTGTAGTTCACGCATTATTAATTTTTATTTTCAAGCATATGATGAGCATTAGTACGACACTGTAACATGGATTCGTCCTAGAATAAGGTACTAATAAACTTTGAACACAGGAGGCAATGTTTTTTCATATACCTAATTACCTTTTAAGTACATAGCAGAAACAGCTTAAATACATATTTTATTAAGCAATGATTTGATATGACATTAATAAAAATTTAATTGGTTGTTTTCTCACTATGATTTCAATTACGCAAACCAATTTCAGTGGAAGGAAACTCAGCGGTTTCAATTCATCAATTCTACATGTAGACGTGCATTCGCTAAACTCGATAATTCTAAATAAAATGTGCTTTCCATACTTCTGATTATTCATATTTACTGTTCTTTAAACAAATCGGTACATCATTAAAATAGACAGATATGGTTAAGCAAAAAAACACACCAAACAAATATATCTAGATAGAAACTAAGCAGCTTTAACAATGCCAATTTGTTTGTCTTCAATATTATATATCGTATAATATTCTGACAAAAATGCTCCTCCCAAAACCCAAGTGTTGCTGCTCTCGTAAGGCTCAAAAGCACTTAGGCAAACTCCGATACCCCAGTACGTCATCTAAAAGCAATAGAAACGTTTTAATAAACAAATTTTACAAAAAATCCGCTCTGATCAGTTCCAAGACCCAAATTCAACCAGAAACCGATCGGCGGTTGGAATGGTTATTTAAGTTAGTGAGTAAGAGTTTATGTGTTTCAACTATTGATAATATAATGTCCACTTATAATTGCCTATAAATGGCAATATGCGGAACAATACATGATTTATGGCATACAAAAATTGCACTGTATCAAAATCGGGCACATTTGATCCCTATTTGTGAATCGGGATAACGATGGATTAGAAGTTACAAAAATTCGGAAAAAAGAATTGTGCGGGTTGCAACAATTGATTGATTCTAGAACTGAATTTGCGCAATAAAATGTTATTATATGTTTCTATGTAATTCTAGATAATGAAATTTGATTCCACCTTCAGAGGTGTAAACGTTCTACAGAAATATTTCTCATCGTAAACGAGTTTTTTGGAAGCATTTTAGAGATAAACATTGTGGAACTATGTGATGGCTAATTGAAGATCATCTTTACATTTAACCGGTAAAAGTAAAAAAAACATTTGTCGCAAGTTTAGATTCATTTCGTTCAGACTGTTTTGGCGACATAGTTGCGGCCTTCTCAATTCAAGCAACTGCAACTTGGTCAAAAGTCGATTAGAAGGTCCAGAATAAGCTATAGTTGAAACATTCTTAGAGGATAAATGGAGTTTCCGCTTATGTCCCACTCGGATGTAAACCCTTTTCAAACATGTGCGAGAAACCGCACATGCTTAGCTTAATATCATAAAAAATTACCATGATCTTAAACGAATGTAAATAGTCAGAACCGCTAGGGACTTTAATAGACCTAAAAATCATGTGTGCTTTAGTGCAAATTTCCATTGTTAAATTAATTGGACGACCTATTGTACCACAAAGCACAATCTATTACCTTAATGGTGTAGTCCCTGCCTGCCAAAGTAAAATTCTTTCCTCCAATAGTAAAGGCAATCTCAGGAAGTTTGTTTATAGTGTCGCAGTCAACCTAATCAAAATGCAATTAATACAGATTTGAATGAATTAAAAATTTATATAAGACTGCCACTACTACTAAGTAAATATTCAGAATATCTTGAACGCATAAAGAAAAATTTACATAAATCAGTTACAACTGCTAAAGCTATTCAGTTTCAATATTGAGTTGGCATCGTTTTTTTTCTGGTTTGCTAACATTGTCATTTATTGTCTTTATTTATCAATTAAAATACGTTTCGGTGTATTTTTCCACCATCATCAGTTTTTACGTGTAGCGTTGTTGCTGCTTTAAGC